GATGTCCTGATACACAGACTTTTGGAGAACTTCTGTCATTTAACGTCTCTTTTTCTCAAACATTTACTTGCTGCTCTCCAAACACAAGGCATTTTGCAGGAATGATTGTGCAGCTCCCTGGCTTCCTGCAAAGGACCAGGACTGAAAAGCTCAAGCTGGAAGCAGAGATTGCAGCTGCTGGTCCCAGGAGCTGTAACAACCAAAGTCACCATGTGGGAAGCAGTCCTGAATGCCACCAGCTTGCTTATTTCGGGCTCCAGCAGAGTGTTTCAAATCAATCTTCCTGACCCCAAGTGCTGGGAGGCGCGTTCTCAGGTTTTGGCTGTGGGTCTGGCTGCTGTGATTCCTTCTGGGCAAACACACCTTGAATTCTGCTTCCCAGCTTGTAGCACTTCATCCTTGAAATCTTATCTGAGCAGCTACATATAAATCAAAAATTGCATTATATAATACAAAGATATAAACACACATTAAAATATGTACCACTTACATATACTAATAGCTATTACATACTACATAAAATGCACATATTATAAATAAACATATGTGAAGTTTAAAATGTATATTACATAATAAAAACTATATGAAATTTATATAATAATAAAAACACATTCTGTGTATGTGTGTGCACACACGTGCATTTCTTGCAGTCATGCGTTGAAACCAATCATTTTGTTGGAGAATAAAACTTCATGAGGAGTCTGGGATAATGCGTATCACCACAGCTGACAGTCCCAGATGGCAACTACAGGCAGTGCCTAAATGCTGTAAGAATTTTTTTTTGTATTGTTGGCATCACCCTTACCATTCATAATGGTGTTACAGATGTCAAATGCACAGTTCCTGAGGAAACTGATATTTCCTGGGGGAGAAATTCTGGCACCTTCATTCTGAGAGCCAAACTGGAAAGGAAAATCCAAGCTGCAGTGCACCAAGCCAAAAGAGCTCAGGCAGAAGCTGTTATTGGTGGTCCTGTTCTGAGTGCAGTGTTGCAGGGCAGGAAAAACACCACAGCTGAGGAAATACTAATAAATGGGTGCAGCAACTGTTGAAGGCTAATGTCTGAATTTCCTGGACAAAGCGTCTAACTATACAACCAGCTCAGAAAAAAAACCGTCAGCCAAGGAAAGAAGTTATTGAATTGCTCACATTTAACCTGGCTACATAAAAGCAAGAAGTGGGTTCTGGCTCTGAAGCTCATCTTTTTTTTTGAGATGCCAGCCTGGTTAAAAAATTTACTTTGGCAAAGAAACAATTTCAGCCACGCACCACTCCTGCAGGTGGGCTTAGACAGCAGTGCCCAGCCTGTGGGAGAACCAAGGTTTTCCCACAACCAAACACAGCATGTAGTGAGAATTGCACTCCTCTTGCACTTCTGTTCAGCAACTTTTATGGGTCTGTGTCCCTCATGATACAGTCCATAAAAGGTTGGGGTTTTTTGACTTTGTTACTAAAGTTCACCTAAGTCAGGATCTGATTGGAGTTCAGGTGAAGTAAACATGGTCTGCTGAGACTTTTGCCTCTGAAATCTTGGAAGACACGGCATAAATGAGCACATCCCCCATGCGGCACAGCGAGTTAGTGGTTGACATTACAGCCTGAGATGGAAGAAGTCTCCGGGGGTGCAGAGGAACCCCAAGAGTGCCTGTGCTGGGCTGCACACTCTGGTGCATTAAGGTTGTACAGGATATTGAGGGCATCGTGTGGCACCTCTGCTAAGTCCCGGGAACATTAAAGTTGCTGTAAGTGTGATTCATGGGCAGCTTCTGATGCCTTTGAAACCACTACAAATCTCTCTCCAGGGTGGATGCAAACCTCTCTTTGAGGGTGGATGCAAATCTTTCCCTTCCTCCTGCTGGGAGTGAGTGTTTCAAGATCCTGACAACAGGAGGCCAGGAATCTTGTCTCCAGGAGGCTGTGTAAGGCACACCATTGATGAGGTGGTCTGTGGCACTGTTGTGTGACACTGCTATGAGATGTGGGCACAGAACACCTCCTATGAAGCCAGCCTCTTGACATATCAACATCATTTTGTCCCTGAAGACTGAGGCTTCTGTTGTTCTGACCCATTAGCCAGACCCTACTCTGGCTTCTGTTTCACAGACTTGACAGCGCTGGGGACCGTTCCCTGTGGGCACAGAGTAACTGGCCGGATTGAAATCCAAGTCTCTTGCCAAGAAATGGAAGGGAAATCCAGCCACATCCCCATGAGATACTACTACTTAAAGAACTTGGTATTTATGTTTCTTTCTTGCCAGGATCATTTTGGTGCCATTAGAAACATAAGAAAAAAAATACATCAGTGAAAGAGACACTTGATAGCCCAAGAAATATTCTTTTAACCTTTTGTTACAAACAACAGAGAATAAACGGAGCACATTTATAAGGTAAATAAAATAATCAACAGTATCTTTTACCTCTGTGCCCATTTTCCTCTCTCCACATGCTTCGCGTCATTTGGTCCATATCAGGACATGTGCCAGGAGAAGGATATTGACTCAGGCTACCATTTCCAGCATCCCTCAGCAGGAGGACTAGGCAGAGGTGAGGTCCAGGTAAGCCAGCCGTTAGAGACCGAGGGTGCTGACAAATTAAAGCTTTCATTCCCTCTTACTACAAGAAAAAAAATGAACAAACACATTTTGTGTTGTGTACTTTATATTATTGATTCCAAGCCTGGGACTGGCGGCTCTTTGTACAACTGTGAGGGGATGAGAGCGGCTCTTCTGCCCCTGAGAGTGCCCAGAACTGGAGTTGTAGGAAGAGAAAGGAAAGAGAACATGAACAGCTTGATCCTTCTCCTGAATCCCCACAGCTTTTTCTAGTCCAGGCTTTCAGAATGAGCTGTTTAAACAAGTAGCTGACATCAATAGACTTTTCTTCCATGAATTTCACTTCTTTCTTTTTCAGTTTGGTATACATGTCATCTTTCAGTAATGGGTCTTGAAATTTTAATTTTGGGTCAGATGATTAGGTACTGCCTACTTCATTTCATACTTGTAGCCAGCAAATTTTGTTGGGTGGAACCTCTCTAAAATATTACAAGAAATTGTGTATAGTTCTCTACTCACTGTCTCTGTGACATTCAGGACTTAATGCACCTCAATAATACACTCCCTTGGGTATTATCTTCTGAGGGTGAAGAGTGTAAGAAAATCTTATCTAGTTAATCTCTCCTTATGGAAGAGACATTCTTTATTTTTATCATTTGCTGTCTCATGTAGCTCCATTATATGCTTTTTTTTGGGGAAGAGAATGCAAGAGGGAGGAGAGCAGAAATTACTATATTATTAAAGAGGTGGATACATCATGCACTTATCCAGAATACCTCCTCTTGTCTTCATGGTAACCGAGTTAGAGCTTTTGCTACAAAAATGGTCAAAAAGACAGTAAGGATGACAGTTGTTACACCTGATCTTGCAGTTGCACCAGTTTAGCTGGAGCACTTTAACCTGTGCAGCTGCAGATTCATGCTTTACACGTAAACTTGCACACAGGAAAACATGTATCACGAAAATGCAAGTAAGAGGAGACAACAGGAATCCAATGCACGCTTGAGCATGGGCCATGAAATGAAACAGATGTATCCTTTACCAATTTTCCAGCTGTTCCCTTCATTTTTACTGGACGTCAGTGGTTACTTACCAAAGCAACAGCAGTAGAAGGTGAATTCTGAATGGATCATCTATTGAGACAAATAGTAAAAAAACCCAAAACTCAAACAGTCAATCACTTGAGAGTAATTTACTGATCAGCTTTCAAAGTTAAAGCATTCAGCAGTAGGAGCAGAATTATTTCGGGGTAGGAGCTGAGTCATTATTTCAAAAAATGGTGAGGATGCACTAAACACACACACACACACACACCACCCCCTCCCCCCCCCCGCCCCGCCCCCATGCTTGGGCTGTGAAGGAAAAGTCATCCTGGACCTGCTGGAACACACCTGGACACGTTAGCAGTATCAGAATTTCACTAAGTGCAGGAATAAATGTGGACATGACTTGATTGCTGTGGACGATCTCGGAGTGAGAAATCAATGCCCTTTGATTTATTGATAGGGCTATAGTCCTGGGACCAGAAGATTTTTTCATTTACATCAAAATAGCTACTCATATTGGAGCAGGACAGAAACCTTTCCAATCTGATTTGCCCTGGCAGAAATCACAACACACAGCTCATAGATATGACACTGGATGGCTCAGCTCACCCTGAGGAACTAATTACACTCTTAAGTGTAATTGCCAGGAGCAAGTTTAGGTAGCAGAAGGTAACAGACGTAGCAATACAGGAATCCCAGCCTGCTGGCTTATCTTTCCTTATAGCAGTTGGTACATATATCGTGCGTGTCACTCGTGTAACCAGCCATGAAGTATTGCCCTTCTGACAGTGAAGGAGCCGGGTGGATACTTAAGTTCACACAGAAATCAGAGGCCAGAGCTGGCCAGTTTACAAAGGGTGGGTGGGAGGGGAAAGGTTCAGAGTTGCTTTTTCTTTCTGCATCACAGTGTCCATGTAACAGACTCACCCTAAGTGCCTACATCTCATATATTTCTAACCTCATTCGTTTGCCCCTGGGAAAGAAGTCTAAGGAGCTGGCACAAGAAACATGGGCTCTGCAGGAGCAAGAGAACCTCTGGCTGCAGCTCACCTTCACCTGCCAAGGAGCACAGCACAACAAACCCTGCCAGCAGGCAGGAATGGGGCAATCCAGCCTACAAAGGACTTGCAGATACCTAGAGGTTTTTGATGTTCTGGAATCGAAAGAAAAACCCCTCTCTGAGCCATGAGTGCAACCACAATGATTAAAAAAAAAACACAAACCAACCCTGAGCTGACCACTTCACGACCAGAAAATGATCACTTTTGGGAACAAAGCAGTGAGATTTATTGCAAACGCAGCAGTAAGTTTATGTTCTTCCATCAACGTGACAAATTAGTTTTTCTTAACACTGCAAATAATGATCCCTCTCCGCAGTGTGATACTTATACACGAATTTCAGTTCAGTAACCAAACCAGAAGTAGTTTTATTTTTTTTCCTGATACAAATGCCAAATATCACAGCCATAGACATAAGCAAAAAAATTGTTCCAAATAAATATGCACAGAAAGATTTTTGACAGCTTGATAACAAATTTAAACACAGTAATTATTGTATAAAGGCTTTAAAAAATGGTATTACTGATAGCAGAATAAGCATCTCCAGTGAAAAGAAGATTGAATACATAATCTGGAAATAGGTTAAATATATATATAAAATATACTCAGTTTATTGTATGGATAGATAAATATTAACATATTTGTGCACATAACTGGGAATGAGGCACTTATTCAGGTTAGTATAAACAAGGCCACTTGTTAAGTAGAAGGGAAAATGTTAATAAGCCTCCAAAAAGTCTTGCTGAAATCTAAAACCTTGAAGCCATAATAAAAAAAGGCATGCTATTCCAGGTGGATTTATAGTTCACTGAATTGTAAGAAATCTAATTTCTTAAGAATGGGACAAATCTGGTAGGGCTTACTGAAAACATTGGGATTTTTTTCCCAGGCAGAGGACTTTGATATCTGACTCATGAATCTTACTCATACTTGTCCAGCTTTTCAGTGTTTGCTTTGTGTTTTCCTTTGTTATCATCAGTTTGCGCTATGATTTTATATATTATTAGAAAAATATTAGTCTGATAATAGTCAACCTAAACACTTGAGTTTTAATCAGACACTATTAAAAGCAGTGATAAAGTTGTTTACTGGGCTAAATATTTGGCTTGTAGAACACATGGGTATTGATGTGATATAAAAAGAAATAATAATTAAAAAAAGAGATTTTGCCTGCAAGCAACTTTAAAGATATTTCAGTCTTTTAAAATTCAAAAGCAGAAAAATAGCTCTACTTATAAACACCTAATTTCTGTATTTTATATATATATTTTTTAAAAGATCTTCTCTGCTTATACAAAACAGGCATTTTATAAATATTAAAATGTTCTATTATTTACATGTGTCCCATTTTACTGTAGAATCATTGACTGCTATTATCCAAACACGCAGTTTCTTGGAGACAAATTCTGCATTTCTCATTATCATAGTGACTTCGCATACAGGCACAAAGGCAAATTTGATCTTAGGTCACACTTTCAACTTAATTGTGAACTTAAATACAAAAAGTATCTGTGGGTTAAGTCTTTGATCAATCTTGCACACATAATACATGGATCACAATACCAGGAACTTCATTAAAAGAGTAAATTAATGTCAGGTGACTAGGGAAAAGGTCTAATGCACTGGGCACGTCTTGCGGATAATTGTTTCAGGCTAGAACTCAGATTAATTAAAATAAAAGATGACTGCATGGTTTCAGTAATGGAGTTTGACCCTTAGGTTGCTGCAAACATCCTTCAATTAAGCAGTTTGAATCACAGCCTTCAGAAAAACCTAGAAAAGTTAGGACAGGTTTTCACCTGATTCATTTTGTGAAAAACCTGATGAAATCTTTTTAAATCAGTGAGGTCGTATCAAAAATCCAGAGCAAGAGAAATCAGTGTGAGTCCCTCTGTGGGCATATTCACACAGTACCATGAATCATAGCACAGATATTCCTGGGCTAGCGGACCTCAATGTTTCCGAGCATCTATGGCTCAGAGGATGGTTGTGCAGAGTTGACAGGGCACCACGGCCGGGCCAGGAAGCCTTTTGGGTAGATTTTTTTAGTTCAGAGGCAGCATCGTGTGCTCGCAGCCAGGCTGCTTGCAAGTTAGATTCCTGTTCTGCCGACTCAGATCCCTGCAGGATGGTCCCCAGAACACCAAATGCCAAGTGTATTGCAGCTGAAGGTAGTTTGGGGGCTGCCCGAACCCACCACCACCAGACGGTGGAAGGGAACAGGGATTTTAGCAACAGTCTTAAATTCAGATTTTATATAGTTTATATAGATTAATTCCATTGACTTGAAATGCCTTATTCATAGAGAACGCTAGTGAGACAAACCGGACAATGTGTCCTGAAGGTTATGTATTCTTCATGGCCAAGCATTTGGCAGGATGTCTTTGGGACAGAACAGGTCCTGTCTGGATAAGAACTGACACGGGACACTGCTGATCCAAACTTCTGTGGAACATCATGCTGTCGTGTTACCTGCATCGAGAACACTGACAGAAAACTAGAATTCCTCTTGTAAAAGCAGTCACTTGTTACAACATGCCCAACAATGACCCAGCACGTTTGTCAAGATGTGCTATGATTATACAGTAATAAATGCTACTCCATTCAATTAAATGTCAATTTTTTCTTTGCTTTGTCGCCATTTAATACGGCAACTGACAATCACATGGTGGATTCAGTATCATGATTCTTAGGCTCAGTTCAGGCAGAACCTTGTCCTCTGCATTATGAATCTAACTCTATCATCTTCTCTAGGCACTGAAATAATAATGTTTGCATTTCCCAGCAGGGGATATGCACTAAGAAATATAATTTACCTTAAAACAGTTCCATGATCCATTATAAATTTAAGACACATAAGCGTCCAGTTTCCATGAAAAACAAAATTATTTATGTATTTGTTGTATTCTTTGGCTTTATAAAATCATAAATAAGAAAAAAAAATTCTCAGGTTAAATAGCTGAATAAAAAGTATGTATTGCATCCTGTGACATGCAACTGATTATAATGTTATGCTGTCTAGTCTAGCTGTCTTTTTCAAAAATTCAGTTACATATAAGTAAAAAAAGAAATAAAATAAATCACTGGTATAGCTAAGTGAAGTCAAAAGCCTATAGGAGGGAGGATTCATGCCTGAGGCATTTCATCACCTTTCGGACTAATTGTAGACATTGAGTTCTTTGTGAGAAACAGTACAAAATTTAACTGAAGAGTGTAAGGATTCCTCCTCTCAAGTATTCTGTGTTTCCAAAGAAACAGATTTCCTCTCATATTGCAGACAGGATATGTAGCACCTTTGGACAGTTTCTTCTACATTTTTAAATGTCAGAAAATACAAAAACAAAACAAAAACCTCTCCCTTACAATGCAGTTCCTTGAATTGCTGCTTAAGATTAGTGCATGATGTGTGGACGTCAGTATCACCTGTCGTGCAAAGTGGGAGATTCAATACAGACTCTTCTGTTGTTGATAATGGCAGCAAGAGTTCAGGATAAAAAATTTCAAGTACACCTAGAAGCATATGAACTTTTTGTTCCTCATGAGTTACCATGATCTGCTGTGAACAAAGTGCAGTTCAAGTTGTTTGTTTTTGCTTTTTTTCTGAGGCACTTTGGAGACTCTGGCTTGAACCCTGAGGTCCTGGAATCAAACCTCTGAGCTGTCGCTGGTGTAATTATATGGTAGCATCATTGGCTCGTTGCTGTCCGACTCCTTCGTGGCTTCCTTCTTCCTTTGTCTCCGTTTTAGCAGCAATACGATGATTGCAATTAAGCAGATGGCAAGGAAAATGGCAGCAGCTCCACTAATGATTGTGACAACGCTGACCCCTGTGCTTTGGTTACTCAGTTCCCGGGTCAGAATTTTGTCTCCGTTTTAGCAGCAATACGATGGTTGCAATTAAGCAGATGGCAAGGAAAATGGCAGCAGCTCCACTAATGATTGTGACAACGCTGACCCCTGTGCTTTGGTTACTCAGTTCCCGGGGGAGAACGCCGTTGACTGCAACCTCCCTTTGAGGAACCTGTTTCTTGCTGGTGCGATCCAGCGCGATGTGCTGTATGTTCGTTCCTCGGTTGTTTTCCACTCCAATGTCTTTTGCCAGTTCTGAGGCCTGCTCAACTCCCCTCTTCTGACGTCTCTGTGCGGATGTTCCTGGGCTCCCACCACTAAAGAGTGAGTGGTACTGGTGCTCCACGCTCCTTTTGCCGATTCCACGGTTAGCGTTCTCTTTTGAACGCACAGTGTAGATTGTATGGACGTACCACTCCCTACCCAAAGACACCTAGAAAGACACAATTTTTTTGTATTTAAACCCACACGTACACAATCTGGGCAGCACTATACACAGAAGAAATCAATCACTGTTCTGAACCGATTGCCTGGACAAGTACTTTCAAAATGATGCACAGATAACCCCCACTATGTGCCAATGTGCCACAGAGTAGTCACGTTTTCTGCCAAAACTTTAAGAGGGGGCAGCCTCTGTTCCTCTCCATGGTCAGACTCCATGGCTATCAGGTGCAGATGAAGAAGCATAGCTGTGGCATTTTTTTGATACTGTTAGTACCAATGGCCATGCAAAGAACCTCAGCTGTAGATAGGCCGCAGTAGAGGACCTTCCAGGCCCAACCTGCCAGCTGACTAGGCCCTGGCTGTGGCTTTAGTTCCATCTTAACATAAGAAAACAATTTTTTACTGTGAGGATGGTTGAACATTGGAACAGGGAGCCTGTGGAGTCTCCATCATTGGAGATACTCAAAATCCAACTGGACACAGTCCTGGGCAAATCTGCTCTATGTGACCCTGCTTTGAGCAGGGGGTTGGAATAAACAATCTCCAGAGCTTGCTGTCAACCTCATCCATTCTGTGATTCCTCAATTCCCAGCAGTTTGAGCGAGATGCTGCTATCTTCTCTGAATTTCTCATGTCTTTTCTGGATACATAATAAATTTGGACTCCAGAAGGTCTGGTAGGATTGCCTGAATACTTTCTTAAAGTTACTGGCTGATAGTGGTTGCATCTAAGTTCTGTTATTGTGAGAAATAACACATTTTCCATCTTACTCTTGTTTTTCTAAGTCTTTCTCAGGACATACTGTTGCTCCATACTTTCATTCTTTTGACAGAATTGGTACAAAATTTACTGCATTATTGGAAATGGATTCTTCATCTCAAAAATGAGATTTAATTTTCATGGGGAGAATATATGAAAACTTTTTATGCTGGTAAGTAGGCTGTTCTCATAAATATTCCATTGCTTACAATGGGACCTTTAATACCAAAGTGGCCAGGAGTAGGATTAAAGTCTCGTTATTTTTTTCTACTAATTTATACACTTGAGTTTTGCACACAGTTTTGCAAATACTAAGGAGACAAATACTGAAAAGACAATACCTAGCTGGGTTATATAGATCAAAGGGATGAACACACTCAGATGAAGGATTATATTGAACTAAGAAGTACTTGCACCCTTTAGATGTCAATTTCTAGGCTTTCCAGTGCTTAGCCGTTTCACAATGTGCAAATTTATGTGGAAAGAAGTGCACAGAAAATGCTGAGTATCAATTAGATCTTGATGAAGTTCACTATTAATGCTTATGATTCCTTTATTTTTGTCTTTGGCAAGTGAGATGATAGGAAACAATAAAACAACTCTGTGTAACAAGAAACTTAGTTCTTAGAAGAAACACATAACAGTAATTTGTATAATTTGTGGTTAGACTGTGGAATTAGGCAAGAGAAAAGCATAGTAACCCCACAAGAATCTTTTAATAAGTGCTCCATATATTTTCCATATCTAAAAATTTATAGCATTTATAATCCTGTTTGCCACTGGAATCAGAATAAATATTCCTATTGGTTTCAATATGACTTACTCTCAACAACACTTCTTTTGCAATTGTTTCTTTCTTGGTTCAGTGTTCCTGCTAGTGAGCTACAGAAATCATACCTGAAATAGAGGAGTTGAGTCCACTTTAAATCCATCAGATCCTGGCTGTTTAACTAATGGAATTGCTTCAGGATCATCTATGGCAAGTTTTGCATTAAAAAGCACATTTCCAAAGCTTGTGGCTTGTGTCTCCGGCTGAGCTTTGTCCTACATGATCGTGGAGGGGAAAAAAAGAGTTTGTAAAACACAGATTCATTTCTTTTAGGAAAAACAGTTCTAATATTTATAGGCAATGTATTGTGTAATTTATACATGCTATTTTATGCAATCCAGTGTAACATCAAGAGAAAAGACATGAGAAGCAATTGTGGTCACATCTGACTTGTATTAACTTCTATTTAATCTCTTGCCTGAAGACTTTTTTGTTAAAACACCAGAGAACAACCATAGCTGCATTTCAAAAATAAAAAAGAGATACATAAATGTGGTTTGAAATAAAAGTAAAAAGTCTATTTCCCACTTTAAAGAAGCTACCTTTCCATTTTATTAACAGACATTCATATAAATTAGTTCTGATAATTGGATAGTCATCTTACTTAAAGTTAACTCTGAAAGTTGTGCATCAGGTCAGTAGACATCTAGGCTTACTCTGGAATTATTTTCAGAAGGGAAATAATCTCAGACATTCTAAGCCAGCTTTAGAGGTAACTCTCTTTCCCTATTGACCATAGAGACAACTAACTGGATGACTAACTTTACATTATATCCTAAATTTTGGATGGCTAAAGATGAAACCAATTCCAATACTTATCTTACTTGCCTCCTAAGACTCTCTTTATGGTTAATGGGTATAGACAATGCAGAGAAAAAGCCTATCTTGGGATTCTAACTTAGGTAAAACTCTAAATGATGAGAGTTCCTGGAAAGATTAAGAATAGAACTGGGAAGGAGAAAGGTAAGATACTGCCTTCATCAATTCATTAGCCTGGAGATCAAGTCAAAATTTGGTGCCAACAAGAACGTTTTAAAGAACAATTATTTTTGGATAAAAAAGAAGTCAGTTAAAAAAAAAAAAAAGTATGTCCATGCTCCCAGAATAATTAGGCCACTTACCACAATCTTAAATCTGTACAGAAGGGATGGAGAATCAGCCAGGCACCCATATTCAGTGTTGGATGGATTATATTTGGGTACATATCCATCAGCTCCTGTGCAGAGGAAAACCTTCTCGATGCTACAGTAGAAGGAATCACCCAAATTCTGCACTGGATCCACCATCACCCGACCATATATGATGTCACCTGTAAACAGTGCACACAGTTCACATCCTATTGCACTGGAACATTTAGCACAATACTGGGTTGAGTTAATAGTCAAGAAGCTCTGAGCAGTGTAATGTGACTGCAGTTTTTGGTCATGTCAAAGGTCTGAGCTCAAGATTCTCAATCTGACTACAGCTATATCCAAAGCCTACTTGAGGAACACTCGCTACCCAGAGATGTTCTTTTTTTTTGGTCATTACAATCCTGTTCAGGCTGCATAAAAATTATACTTGGTCAGACTGACATACCGTACAAGTGAAATGAACATTATGAAAAGTCACAGAGACATTTTCTGCATCTTGGGTCCCTACTGTGTAATTGCATTTCAGCTGTATGATAATGTTTTAGATAAGAAATGCTAGGCCTGTACAAATAACCTGGTCCATTGCTACACAGGCAAGAAAAGTATGCTATAGCAGTGGTCAGATACATAAGACAGAGAGTGGTTAGGAAGGTGAGATTCTGAATAAGGAAAGGAGAAATGTTGTGTTGATTTTACATCAATTTAGAGCAACTGCAGACTTTGAGAGAGAGAGAGAACAGGTTCCTGTGTGCAAGAGACTCTGCGGACACATCACAAAAGGCAGTCTTGTATTCAAGGTGCTGGTACTGTAATAACCAGGCAAAAGAGGCACAGAAGGAAAGCAAAGGAAAGGAGTGAGTGCTTAGGTCCGCTGTCAGATGTATCAATTGAATTAACCCTCCCGCCCCCAGCCTGCTCAGTGGAGGGCAGGGAGATGGGGGAAAGCCTTGATGCTGTGCAAGCACTGCTCAGCAATAGCCAAAACACTATTTAGCCACAGATGCGAAGCACAGAACCATAGCGGGTGCTATTAAGAAAGTTAATTCTATCCCAGCCAGACCCAGTACACTCACCCACAACAAAAAACTGTGTAATACTCACTTATCAACTAGGAATGTTCTTAACATCAGCCAATGTTTATAAAGTGCTCAGCTTATAAGAAAAGGCACCAGTACAGTAACCCTCAGACTCAATAGTTTCAGTGCAGACTGGACAACAGCTCTGATGTAAACTGCCAGGTAGGAAAGGCAAGCACAAAAGAACACAAGCAGCAAGCCCAAACCATTCCTCCTGTCTTGTTTTGACTGCAAAAGGATCTTGATAGTGAGGAACATATATTAAATGTGCATGATCTGTGCACAATTATACCTTCTGAGAAAGCAACATCACTTTCTTGCCCAAAGCCCATTGAGCCATCAGATAGCCACAGTGTCTTTTTGGAGAGGAGGAACATCTGGGTGTTCAAGCTGAACTCAGCAGCCACTGGGTCACTGACCTAAAACACAACAGCATAAGGCTCTTCAACGAGTATTCTTTAATGACTCAAAAAGCACAGCATGATCTTCTCCCAAGGTACATTATTTATCAGTTCTGCACATCCACATGCAATAATACTACAGTTTAACCAAAAAGATTTCTTTAGAGTAGACATATACTGCTATATATTTTACATTCATACAACCTCTGGGTTATCTGCCTCTGTGATATTTGACAGGATTCTAGGTTAGTTTCTTCCCACCACATTTTTCCAAATCCCAGCCAAGGAGGTGCCCAAGGCAACTTATGTGTGGGGGTAACATGAGGAAAATATTTCCCTCAAAAACTTCTCTCCCTCTGACTCACCACAGTCTGTTTCTCTATCCCATTTTTGTTCTTACACCCAAGTCCTACCTCTGCTTCTGATCCTCTGCCAGTTATTTGAAAGTACACATTGCTGAGGATTTATTTGCAAGTATCAGTTCTTCTGATGTGCTGCGGGATATCAGATCAAACAATTTGAGCACCTTTTTATGCTAATATTTATCTTTATATATCTGACACAGTTATCTTCCTTGATTACGTTACAAGAATAAAATAAACCTCACCAACAGATTTTCATTGGGCCATATAACATATGTTAGAAGGCAAACTATACAGGGACATGGCATAACAAAAGGGAAAAAACATAGTGAACAGAAGAATTGGGAAGAGCACAAAGTTCAAAAAGATGCAGTGTACCTGAGGAAACAATCTGGAAGACGCATACATTAAAAAAAAGAAAGGTCAAAAAACAAGAGGCCATTAAACAAATAAAAAAATGCTAAAGTGTAGATGTATATGTATGTATATATATGTGTATGCGTGTGGAAAGGAAGGGGGAAAAACAGGAAAGAAAACATTCTTGCTGGCTCATGGACAAGGGGCTGATGGAATGAGATATAACAATATCAACAGAAACTACTGCTGCAAGTTATACAGCTGACACGTTTATTCTTCAAATCCCCTTTTCACAATAGAGTCCCAAAACTATCAAAGGAACAGGATTTGGCAAGGAGAACGTCTAGCTGAAATATTTTTATAAACCCACTGCTACCCTTTAGAAAAAGGAACCCTAGTCCCATAGCCTTTTCACAAAAACAATTATTAAAAATATCATTTCCATTCTCTTTGGAATTCTTCTTTCTAAATGCCTGAGTTTCAGGCAATTGGATTGCAGTGCCACAGCTTCAAATACCTGACTGATACAACTGGTTTCCAGCTGTGGTTCTGAAACAGAATCAAGCATGGCCTCATCAAGCTCTGCCTGGGCAGAGTAAATGCCCACTGAATAGGAAAGAAGACGTGTGTGTTCAGCTAAAGGCACCGGGCTTCAACCACACAGCGTACAACAATGGTCAGAGCAATGGCCTGGGTAAATACTGTACATATAGCTGTGAACACATCTCTTAGGCATCCTGTTTAAAGTTACTGGTTTTATTTCAGTTTTACCTGTAAGTCTCAGTGCTGCCAGTGCCCAACCCATAGCTGTGATTTATGACAGTAGTTTAAATGTCATTATTTTCACATGCATTTGAGGCAATTTAAACGAGTTCTTAGAAAAATTATCTGCAGGGATCTGTTGGGTGAGAAGAGTACTGTCAATTTATTCTGCCTGTTTGCCATGCCCATCAACTCGGCATATGGATGATTTGAGGACAATGCAGATCACTCATGGCAGACATCCTCACCTCCATGGGACCAAAGCTCATGAGACACTTGGTACCCCAAGAAGCAGAAAGCTCTTGAGACTGCTCCATCCCCGGGGCAGCAAATAACCAGATTATGGGAGTGCTTCTGTCAGGAAATAGCCATGCACGTTTAAAGAAAGGAGATGCTGAAAGGACTGAGATAAAGCAGAGCTTGGAGGCTGAGTGCTGTTCATGTACAGGAAATCCCAGAGTGAGACAGCGGTAATACAATACTACTGTTCCAGGCTACCTGCTTCCCTTTTCAGGGGCCACAGAGAGAAGAAAAGGAGATGGGCAGATACATGTTAAAGAAGGAAATGTTGAACCAAAACCTCCAGAGGGACGACAACAAATATATTGTCTTCTTGATGTTTGATTCTTAAAGTGGTCCCTCACTCATGAACAGTGAAAACAATTGTGAAGGAAATCAGAAAAAAAAAGTTTCCAAGAAAATGAAAAGCTTCATATTAAAAAGCCCAAGAAGATAATTCAGTACAGCAGCTGGGGCACTAGAGTAAGAATTGTGAGAAAAAACTCTTGTCCCATCATTTCATCATTAGACTTTACAGGCAAAGTCATTTTGGTCCAGTTGTAACACTTGTACTCACCGACTCAGGGAATCATAGAAAGCTTTGGATTGGAAGGGACCTTTAAAGATCATCTAGCCCAACCCCTTGCCACGTACCCAGACATCTTCCACTAGACCAGGTTGCTCAAAGCCCCACCCAACCTGGCCTTGAACACTTCCAGGGTTGGGGCATCCACAGCTTCTCTGCACAACCTGTTTTATTGCCTCACCACCCTCATCCTAAAAAATTTCTTCCCTATGTCCAATCTAAATTTACCCTCTTCCAGTTGCCCCTTGACCTGTCACTAGTGGCCTTGGTAAAAGGTCTCTCTTTGTCTTTCTTATAAGTGCAGTTTATTTTTTAAAAGGATGCAATAAGGTCTTCCCAGAGCGTTCTCTTCAGGCTGAACAACCTCAACTCTTTCAGCCTTTCTTCACAGGGAAGGTGCTCCAGCTCTTTGATCATCTTCATGGCCCTCCTCTGGACCCGCTCCAACAGGTCCGTGTCTTTCTTGTATGGGGAACCCCACAACTGGATGCAGTGGACCTGTGCAAGGTATCCGGTGTTTCCTAGTCTAGGGACCAGCGCCACAGTCTGGCCTGTCATGCTCACTTCTCTGTCTTTTGTTTCTTATATTTAAAACATGGATACTAATGCTCATTCAGTTTTGCAGGATGCCTAGAAATCTTAGAGGTAAATGCCTGGTGAATTTGTGATACTGCACTGCCTCTAACTGCTGCTTTTTTTGGGACCTGCTTTATGTCCACATAGACTTTCAAACGATGATCAAAGGGAATAATATCATGGGCTACAGAATTTCCTAAATTCCTTTTACTATGAATATCTCAAGAAAAAGAGCTGGTCTTGGTTTGAAAATTGCTGGGGATGGGGGACTAACTGGCCACGGTCCTTGGTGATTACGATTCTGTTGCAATTTTGCACATTATCTCTATTTTGAATTGATGTACCTGAAACTTCCATATACTGTATTATTAAAGCTTTATCGATATAATGAACCCTATAGTATCCTTTCTTTTTTTTTTTTTTTTTTCCAAGGCAGTTCTTAGTCTTAGTCACAGTTCTTAGTCATAGGCTTCTTCCAGATAAGAGTTAGGTCTTTCCCCAGGCTACTTTGCCCATTTTGCAATGATTTTTACAGGTCTTTTGAATTTTCTTCACATTATCGACATAATCTTTTTCATAGAAGGACCAGATGCAAGCTGTGCTTCAGCATTGCTGAGAATTGCTTTAGAGTTCCTAGAAGATTAGGAATGCCAGATAAAAGCCAAAGTGCTAAACTTGTGCGAACTGCCCCTACCTTCCTCCATTCAAACTTTTTAAAAGTGTTTTGCTGGGTTAACTCTGAGAAGGCAGGTTTCGTGTCACTTCATGTATCATCTCTTTGCTTGCCCAGGACTTAATGCCGAATTAGGAATCATCTGTTCTCCCATAGCTGGCATAAGACCAAATGAAAGCATAAAGACTGCATACATTCCCTTGTGTTCTCTGGCTAATTCAATAATTATGTATCCCTGACTGATCCAGATGGGATTTATACTGTAAGATGATTTAATAGCATACATCTATACTATTAATGAGCATGAAAACACAGCCACACTGCTCCGGTATTAGTTGCATTGGCTCCAAATAACAGAAATGATAAAAATTCCTCCTTACACATCCCAAGGTCACACTAGCTCTTTTGGTAACACTGTAAACTGGGAGTTTATGTTCTGTTAATTATCCAGTATGACCCCTACATATTTTCCAACCAATGCTTTCTATAGCAGAGTCCATTTCTCCGTATTTTGTTCCCAGCAACAGAGCTTTACAGCTGGGCTTTGTGAAAGGCATGCTGTTTGCCCGTTCCCACATTACCATATGATCCATATTATTATGGCTGGGATATAAGTGTCTAACTCACTCTCAAGAGTCTTAACACTAAGCATTTTACCAGTGCTGGCTATCTATACTTTTTCTATAGTCAGTGAAGGAAGTCCTAGCTTAGGACTGAATTAATCTTCTAGAGGTCTTCTCTAGAGGTCCCACTTTTAATACCAGAGACCTAGCTCTGGTCTTTGCGTCAGATTAAAACCTTCTGATAATAGTTTTATATTTTCCTATTTACTTGATAAAACTATTTCATACCAAAGCCAACACATAAGTAAAGAATTCCCAAAGGTTAGCTTGTACCACAATATCTATCACCCAGACCAATGTTAATGAGCTTCCTACTGGCTATCAAAGATTGGCCATGCATTGAGGACAAAAAACATTTGTGCTCCCAGTTGGGTAAAACTGCTTAAATAGCAGGAGAGGACTATGTGCTGTCCCACCAATTTAGGAATTGGTTAGTTCCCACCAATTTAGGAATTGGTTTGTTGATAAGCAAGTAACTTCAGTTTCTAGCACTCTTATTACAAGACCAACAAAGGCAATATGGGAATCAAAATAAAAAGGAAACATGAAGAAGGTCTCATTGGGGTGGCACCTGCTGGAATCGGATGTCCAGATCAAATGTGATCGGCTCTCTAGGACTGCAGATCACTGGTAGGCTGTACTCCTGATGTGGAGCAGTGGTACAAGCTATCAGCTTCACAGTGTACGTTCCAGAATAGTCTCGAACCTGGAGAGAGAGAGAACTGTTCCATCAACATCCTAACCATCAGTCTGGGGCAAGAGAAGACACAGTGAAGGCTGAGGTTTTACCGCAAAATCTGAAACAAAGCTCCACTGCTGCACTGGCTGGTTGTACGTTGGCTCGCTTCGGATAAGGCTGAGGCTAAATGTCAGGCCCAGGTGATCAGCACACATAACCATGGACGTTAGAGATGTAGCTAAAAACATGCCAAGAGACAGATTTGTCACCTTTAGTATTTCACTTCAAACTTTCAGAGCCTGAAACATTCCCAGTAATTCATAAACCATGATGCCATGGTTGATGTTAATACTTTTACAAGGCACTGGGTTTTATTAACTGAAACTAACAAAACCAATTACAGTCAACACAGCTGGGCCCCCTTGATTCTTGTTCTATTAAACTATTAAACAGTTGCTTTTGGGCTACACAACCAGAATTGTATGAAGATTAAACTTAACAGACAGGCGAAACAGTGAGAGTGGAATGGCAAAGATCTATAATCCCTCCTGTTTTAAACTTGGAATGTCAGGCCAGAGAACACAAAATAACTTCTCTTAGCAGTGTAACTCTTTCAGCTCTGCCTGATATGCAAAACTCAACATGCTAGAGGACAGATGAGAAAAAGCAGAAGCACTATGAAGGAGTTTTATAGGTTAATAAAACTGAGTTAAACTAAAAGAGATTTCTTAATATTTTTTTTCCCTTCTCATTATTGTTCAGCAGATTTAATTTAGTTAGATAATCTTTTCCATGGCCGGCATTCATGCTCAGATTTATGTCTGTAGACAGAGTCTTACACCTGTGATTATTCTGAACAAAGGCAGTGGGGTTTAAACAGATTAAATTGCAGGATCAGATCCTTAGCAATGACTAATTGAATGGCAGTGAGAATGTTTTATTAACAGAGCGATACAAGACCTTTTCTTACTCTCTGAAAATGGTCTAAATAATCTAGAAAGGCTTCAAGTTATAAAAGAAATTTTAATGCTATCTAAGTTCCTAGGGCAACATAAGTAAATAGCTGATCATAGATTTTGGATTAAAACATGTATTTATAGATCTCTAGTGGATAGAATGGCCTAGATCTTCATCTTTCATAGATCAGGCTCTTGATCAAGTGGAACTATCTGCTTTCCATCAGATTCATGCATATTCCATAGAGTTTGACAATCTGAATCAATGACAAGTAAAAAATCCTAAGTAGATGAAAAATCCTTATCTGAAGAGCACAGTACAGAAAAAAAATCAGGTATCAGTAGCAGAAATAAATAAAATGAATAGTATAAATTTTTGGAGGGAGGTCTTTGTTTTTATAGTACTGCTGAAGTGTAGATTAAGCTTACCAGGATGGGACATCACAAAGACACCATGAAATCGGGCTTCGGTCTTGAAGTTGACAACCAGACGCCCCTCTTCACTAATTCTCATGCTGGTTGGGTACAGGGAACCTGGCAGTAGAAGCCAATTCACAAAGTTTATTCCACTTGCAGATGACAAATAAATCACAATCCTACATAACACCAGTCCCACTCTGTCAGTCCCTTGTCATGTCAGATGTTTGTGAGAGGGCCTGCTGCTACCTTGTGAATTGACTCAAGATTCTTCTCAAACAAGAATTTACACAGTGGAGCCTAGAGTTTTCACAATCACAGAATCACAGAATCATATGCTTCAGCTTTCCAAAGCACATACAGAACTTCCCTGCAAAGTCATGGTTTTACAAGTTATCATGGATCCACACAGCCACTCTGGCAGACCGAGGAAATTTCACAGCACAATCTGTGCTTGTGTTCAGGCAACAGCATGGTCAGCTGCCAGGTGGGTCTGTAGAAGGAATAATACTTTTGTTTTCACCAGGTACTCAAGCTGACTCCTACCAATGAAAGCTGCTTCAGAGAGACTTTATCAGTCCCTCCCTATCCATCCTCCCAAGGCAGCACTCCCCAGGATTTAGTGGTAGCAGTTGGTTGTGGCTGCCATGGCAACCTGCTTGTGGATGCTTGACTCTGTGAAACTCATTCTGACAGGCTTTGCATTGCTCTTGATTTCTGGTGTGTATCTGCCCCAAAACATGGGCCTAATATTTCCTAATTTCAGGTTACAAGGTCTTGTGTATATGTCAGAAGCGGTTTATTGCTGTAGCTTGCAGCCAAGTCCCTTTTTCTCTAGAGTTCTACACAGCTTCACAGTTCAAGTGTTTCCTTCAGTGCTCCCTTAACAGAGAGCCACTGATGTGCCACCACTCTGCCTGCCAGGGGCAAGAAGGAAACAGGAATGTTCCTCCCCAGTGTGTCGGAAACCTAACACGCTCACCAATGTGAATGTTACCACCTGTACAAAATCACCAGTACCTATCACATTTATTGGTACATTAGAAACATATATATATATGTATGCATGAATTATAGCTTTAGAAGACCTTGACGGCTTTACAGCTTTATGTAGAATTTATATAGAACAACTGTATGTATCCAGACGTATGGAAATAAACTGGAAATTAGTTAATCCCTCCCTGCTCAGACAAACAACTTCTCATTGTGCAAGGCTGTGGAGTAAGAAAATACTGCTCAAATCAGATTAGGATAGATTGGGGGTCTACCCTCCACTACCTCACTGTGTTTATCATGTGTTTTGTGCTGGCTGCTTTGTAAGGGAGCCACCAATGTTCAGCATCTCCAAAGACCTGGCCATCAGCTTCTTATACAGAGAAATTAAACATTAAAGCATCAACGACAGGGAAGTGGTGCCATAGAGGCGCCACAGAACTGCTGAGGCTGAGGATTAGATCTGGTTGTTATTCAGTGAGTGGTGCATCACATGATTCGTGGCCTGTGGCTTACTCTTTAGGCACGGCATGACATGTGCTTCATTCTTCATGCACTGTAGATTCCCCCTGCCACTCCTCATTTCCTGCTCTTAACATGAGGGCAGAAACTGCACAGTGATGACTTCTGTAGTTCATATACAGAGCTTGCAGAAACAAAAAATGGCTTTATGTTCACAGAAGTTCTGACATTGTGTAAGTGTACATAGGTAATTTTAGCTGGTGTCTGTATTCTATCTTGAGTTGAGACAGATATGGAACATACCCCAGTTTAATGCTGGGAAACACTAAGTAAATTTGCATAAATAGAACAGAGCAGCATATAGGTGTAACTATACATTTTAATCTTTCACAGACATCTGTATGCCACTTTAAAAAAGATAATTTAACTTCTTGCAAAGATAAATTCTGTAATGATAGAGTTTGTTTTGTTGACTATAGTCATAAACATTTATTGGCAGTATCTATCACATTTAAAGAATGTTTTACAGTTTACTATTCTGACACATAAGACAGGCTATTATACCCATTATACATTTCTGTATTTTTTGAATGTTTCACAATTAATGCTTTCAAAACTTGAAAAATTTCTGCAGCTGTACACTCATGGCCAGGAAAAAATTATATTGCTGAAAAGTTTCAATTTTTTTTCATCGAACTGCAAATATCTTGTGTGGTGACAGAGTATGAATACATTGTGAACCTTGAGTTCTGAATAGAAATAAACGTGCTAATTTTTGCATGTGTACTTCACACAGGAACTAACCATTATCTTTTTTTGCAATAAAGATAAATAAAGAAAATAAAGTTGATGTCAACTTTACATAGATTTCATAAACACCCCAGCAGAGAACTGTCAGTGCTAGGAAACGGCAGATTGTTTGCAACTGATAATAAATGAGATACTATTGTTGTTTGTTTTTTTAGAATGATTGAAGAATTCTCCTATGGTGTGCAAATTGTATTCTTAGTAAGAGACCATGAGTTCGATGCAGAGAAGTCAGACACGCACCTTGCAGTTCTGCTTCAGGTGGGCTACCGATCCCATCCTTCCACAGGATGGCAGTGTCATACACAAAAGTCAGGCGGAGCTCTGACTGCAGGTCGAAGTGCTGCCAGCCTCCTACTCCCACCGGGGAGTGGAAAACGTAAGACACGTACAAGGGGACTCTCAGCGTGACATAGGACTGTACAAGGTTGAGAACCTACAAAAACAGGAAATTACGTCAGACACCCACCTTGCAGTTCTGCTTCAGGTGGGCTACCGATCCCATCCTTCCACAGGATGGCAGTGTCATACACAAAAGTCAGGCGGAGCTCTGACTGCAGGTCGAAGTGCTGCCAGCCTCCTACTCCCACTGGGGAGTGGAAAACGTAAGACACGTACAAGGGGACTCTCAGCGTGACATAGGACTGTACAAGGTTGAGAACCTACAAAAACAGGAAATTATGTATTTAGATTTGTGGTCACGAAAGGCAGCACCACGTAGGTAATCCTAACGCAAGAGAAAGAGAAGACAGAACTTGAAATAAAGATCGTGACTGAATCAATTTCTCTCATTTTGCAAACTACAGATGAAGTGCAAAACGCCACACATCAATGGATTTAACCTGAGCTTACAACCCTTCAAGTTGCATTTTTGTATTTCAAACTGAATAAGCGTTCTGATAAAACATAAACCCCTCAATTTTGATTCATTTATGTTTAGGTTTTTTAAGTACATAAACAACGTGGCTACAAATTAAGGCCACAGAAATTTTTCAAATATCATTTTGCATTTGCTCTATCCTTAGGCCTTAATGAACTCTTCTGCTTACATTTTTATGTTACTATGTTACTTCTGGAAGACCCTGAATTTGCTCAAACTTCATTGCAAGACTGAGTCCTTGGACTGCACTTAATCCATCTCTGGAACTATTTCTTCCTTTGTGCATGGATAGCAGCTAACATACTGCATGCAATCATGCAAATCATACTGTTTATCACTGTCTGGAAGAACTAAAAATAGTATGCAAGTTGATACAGATTTAAAAGTAGACCCCCTACGCACATATTGTACAAAAGAATAACACTGTATTTAATTATTAGCAGTCAGGAAATTACAGATTCTCTACATATATTTTGATGAAAAATTGCAAGATCAGTTTCAGTAAACTGTCACCTCAGCTTTGTTACAAATACTTTTTCATTCACATCCTCTGATTAGAAATGTGCAATCCAGATCCCCTTGGAGCATTCTGGATTTTCTTAAAAAGATGCAGAAGGAAAGGCACTGACATCACCTCCCAGTGGGAAACTTTTCAAAGGCACAAATGGTGTCGAACACCCATTTACTTCCAATAGAAACTGCATAGGTAAATTTGTACACCTGAACATTTCCCTGGAGTGATTACCTTACAAGCTTTTGCAGTGTTTTGCACTATTAAAACCCCCCAACATTCAAAGAACTTTACAAGCTGTGCAAAACCAAAACTGTTTCTGTGTTCACCCAGTGGCGCATGAGAGGGCTGAATGTCCATTACCTTACAGCTGCTTTACAGTTCCAAATGCCAGACAAAAATTTTAGTAACACTATAAACCCACAAATTTACTGCCTGAACTGACTATATACTATGAACTAATTAGGGAGTTCATTATGGCAAATGTTCATAGTTGCCACAACCCACTGTCATGCAGGACACTCCTTGCTCTACACACTATGCTACTGAAACCCTTTCCACTTACATTGTTTGCATCGTTCCATAAAATGTGCTGGCATTTAGACAGAAGACAGTCTGGACAGACACACAGTATCATGAAGTAAGGCAGCCCAGTAGATAATATGAGATGCTACAGTCATAGGTTATTTTATATTATGCTTCTTTGTTGGTTTTACGTAAATACAATCAAAAGCTTCTATTTGGGATAAAAAAAAGGGTTTTCTTCTCTATATGTATTGGATGACAAATTGAAGTTAGACAAAAATATTGTTCTTTAGTGCTATTTAATTTGCAAGTTTCTTTTTGGGATACCTGCATGGGTATCTGAGCAATTATTTCAGACACAGATTTTCAAAATTGTTCCAAATAACAGCACTTAATTCTCACTTCTATTTAAAAAAAAAAGGGCTGTGATGCAACTCTGCGGTACATCATGGTTTGCCTTTGATTCAGGAGTAACCTCAAACACTTGTCATTTCCTGGAACAGTATCAAGAACTGAATATACTTCACACACAACAAATGGGTTACTATTGAAAAGTCATCTCAGAGAGACTACTGGCTTTTGTATGTGTGTGTTCGTTCTACATCTGCATCTTGTGCAGTAAGAATTAGACATTGAGATCAAAGATCTGAAATCCAGTTTGCTTGTAAGGAAGAGACAAAAGTACATGGAAGACGATTTAATATATTTCCCTTATCCTCTTGAAAAAATGCATACATCATGCTTAATGATAACATAGAGGAGGACTGGAATATCACACAGGGGGAATTTAATGACCTTGTGGACTAGAATAATTAGAAGAGAGATGAAATTTTATAGCATAAAGTATAAGGTAACAGAAAGCAGTGAAAGGGATTTCTGGTAGAAATGAAAGACATTGGTTAGAAACGACAGAGGGGAAAAAAGATTTTGGTATGTGAGTTGATCACATCATAGCTATGACCTTCCTACCCTCTCCATGTGATATGATCCTAAGATAAACTGAGGAATGGGGTGGAAATTAGAAGCATGCATGCCATTATACAGAGCACTAGTGAGAGCTTATCTGGAATAGCTTTGATCATCCATGCTTGAAAAAGCCTAATTTGCATTGTAGACTGTAGAAAAAGGAATCACCATAATCACAGGAATGGCAAAACTATCTGATGAGAAGAGACTAAAATAGCCAGGTTGTTTAGCCTAGTACAACAAAGGCTGAGAGGGAGTAAGAATGCTGTCTATACACGTCAGGAGACAGCAGAGAAGGGCTGATGATGGTGAAGGATGGTGCTGACATGGGAACAAACAGGCATGAGATGGCCATGACAAATACAGCCTAGAAATCAGAAGAATTTTTAGCCCTCAGTGTGATGGCATTCAACAAGAACAGTGAGGCCATGAAATCCTATTAGTCTTTAGATTAAGGTTACTAGTGTTGGAACCACATTATATAGAGAGTTAAGGCAGTGGCCTGGACTGAGTGATCCACAAAACCCCTTCTAGTTCAGTATCTTATGCCACCTTGATTAAAACCAAAAAACTTCTTTCAAAGCTTTTCTTGATTTTCAAGTACAAGATAGTATCAGCACTTCACATACACTCTACACAAAGAAATCCATTAATGGGGTTTGTAAATCACATTTTAGCATTTTCTTGTGCCCATTCAATGGGAACATAGTGTTAATGAGCTCGACTTACTTGTACTGGGGGAAATCTAGCAGTAGGATCCCTTCTGGGGATGAAACACTACTCCTTTGCCGTGCATTACCACTGTTCTGTGGGAAAATCTGAAACCTTAGCACCAAATAATTGTCTCTATTTATTTCTAGGACCCTTGAATTTAGAAATTCTTCTCTTCTAGTAATACCCATAAAAGATGTCTGGGCAGTGAGGCTGCCTGCCCCAGCCTGGGAATTTATTCATGTACTTAAGCATATCTGTGTGCTTCCACCAGTATAGCTGCCCTTAAGTGTGATTCATGGCATGTAGGGAGGAGGAAGGAGTTCTTGCTAAACCAGCTGATGGAGTTTTTATGCACACAAACCCTTCCTCACACACTCATGGTCTTGCAGGTGTGGAGGAAAACCCACAACACTGATAGCCAGAGAATTACTGAATAAATAGGTCTGTTTTTTCTCCCTTGCCGAAAAGGAAAATGCCGCAAGGAGAAAATTACTCTTCAGTAGGCAGAACAGAATAATCTCAAGGCACTCTATATGAAAGGATCTTTTTTTATAGAATAAAAATGAAAACAACAACAAAAAAAAGAGGAAATTAACTGCAGAGGAAGACTGTGTCTGATTAAGTGAGGAGAACTTCCCAACAAAAGAATCGATGCAATGTGTAACACAGATGGAGGAGTCTTCCCTAGCCCTCTTAATAATGCCATTTAGGCAAACATAAGAAAACATTCTTTCCATTGAGTTATCTTTATTTCCCAGCACTGCCTGCAAAGACACTCTATATGAAAGGATATTTTTTGTAGAATAAAAATGAAAACAACAACAAAAAAAGAGGAAATTAACTGCAGAGGAAGACTGTGTCTGATTAAGTGAGCAGAACCTCCCAACAAAAGAATCGATGCAATGTGTAACACAGATGGAGGAGTCTTCTCTAGCCCTCTTAATAATGCCATTTAGGCAAACATAAGAAAACATTCTTTCCATTGAGTTATCTTTATTTCCCAGCACTGCCTGCAAAGCCTATTGAAAGTAGCCAGCTGTTCATATTTTATCTCAATGTGACACTGATGAAACCAAAGCAGTAACTTAGAGCTGTGTAAGTGTGGGATCAGCTTAACTGCTGTGGAGAGACAGAACAGGTGCCTTCTGTGTCTACGCATCCAATGCACAGGAGGTTTTAGCAGTTGCACTGAACAACTTACATTCATTAACAACACATTTTATGCAATAATAAATGTAGGATCCCACACAAAGTGTGACTTCTAGCTTTGTGATACCAGGAGAGAAATACAGACTAGAACCACACCTGAGCTGAACTGGGGAAATTGTGTCTAATAGCCTGTGGCAATGCCAGGTCTGGAAAACCTGAGAAGATGGAAGACAATAATCGTTCCAAGCGGGGAACAGACTCTTACAGTTTGAAAAAATTTATATCACATATCATTCCAATGGTTCATCTCAAAATTCATGTGTGTGAGGCAAGAACATGATTTATACTGGAAATCTATATAAGAAGTAGAGGTGCATGCATTTTCTTTGCAAGACAAATTATCACAGAGCATAAGGTCTATTTTTGAACACTGACAATTCCCATTTAGAGACTTAGAAAATATTCATTTGAGTTTCTATAGGTGTTCTTCTTTTGTTCCCCTTTCTTATGCAAACTGTCAAACTTCATTAAGCAAAAAAAAAAATTAATTAGTTTGAGAATCTGTCATGTAATAAGTGAGAATATTGAAAGGAAATATTTTCAGTTAAGGTTTTGGGGTACGGACTCTGGTCTACATTTATACTGTATTTTATTTATCTGGCTTACATTTCCAGAGGGTAGAACTTGGCAATGTGTCTGTGTACACTGTTAGCACTGATAAAATCAGAATTCAAAATTAGAAATAACACAAGTTCATGTTTTATATTGCTTCCCCCAATGAAACAAACTTTTCATGAAAACTGTATTTTTGTTCTCCAGAACACCCTCAGCTTCATTTTCTATTGCATTTACTCGCTCTGTCTGCAAATTTGAGTCACACAAGCTTCACAATGTTATCTATTAACTGTTTACACAATAACAATATGGTAAAGCTATGATTTGGCCCCAGGAGGGCATGCAAGCCAGGTAGGTCACAGGTGAAATGCAAAGCAGGTTTGTTTAAAGAAGTCTGAATGGAGAGGGGAACGCAATACAGCCTTGAAATGCCAGCTCCTTGAAATGTTTAACTTCTGAGTTTGTTACACAGCTGGTGCATTAACTTTATAGTAGAGTTTTTTCTTCTCGGCGCTTACTAAATGCATGTGTTTGGAGCTGGAGGAAAAAAAAGGTTTGAGTGTTAATGAGCTCTCATGTCAAGGGAATACAAGTTGCAGGGTTTTCTTAAACTTGGAAATGGTGGCTGAACTGAATATAAAAATCTGAAAATAGACATTTCTGTTGATTTGCATTTAAAAGCATCTAATGAGATTTTCAGAAAAGCTGAATTTTCCCCTTAAAGTATGATTTTAGTAAAAACTGAACTAGTAAAGCTGGAAATATACTGGTTTTGTGTAATAAAAAACCTCTGCAAGCTGCCTTGTATAAGCTGTGGCAATACATTAGTTATTTTAAAACCTCTTTTCAGGTAAGATTTCCAAACACCTCAGTGCCAAAACACGTGTAGCATAAATGTCAACTGAACATATTGGAAGAGAGACATTTGCAGTTTTGGCCAGAAATAACTGTTTTTGTTAGAGAAAAAAACAAACTATTCAGCTGTACTCAATTACAGTAGCTCCAAGGTATCGATGTATATTTTCAAGTATTTTAATGTATATTCTTCACCGTCTTGTTTTTGTCAAATACTTGCTTAACTACCTGTTGTTAATAAAATTTGTTTGACTGGTAATTTCCTTGCTTCCCTGTGCCAAGTCTGGCAATGGACTGGAACTAGGGAAAGCAACATCCACACATAAGTACTTGGCCAGAACCACACAGAAGCCTTCAGATGCCAAACTCTCTGGCTACAGCAAACAATTATAACAGTAGGAAACGAGATCAAATAATACTTCACGCTCTATCAAGTAAGCCTAGGCCAACACTTCAATGTATACTTTATTAAAGGAAAGTCACTTGCTTGGTTTTCACTGTTTCACCTCTTAACTTCCTTTCAAGAATATCTGCATTGTTCTAGTACCTGCATCTTAAGAATGTGAGATGTCTGTAGTAATTGATTCTCATAATCTCCCCATGAAGTAAAGTCCAACCTTTATTAATTACCTGAAATTACAGGAAGACGGCCCTCAGGTAGGTGAGTTCCACCTTTTAAGGCCTATATGTATGCAAAGACAGAATTGAATTTTAGGCTATGACTATAGGTTGTCCAAAAGAAAACTGTTGCTGCTAATCATCAAAGCTGACCTTAACTTTAAGCAGAACGGAGCTATAATCCAAATGAATTAGCTCAATCTAAAGAGGAGTAGGCCTTTATTTTTAAATGTAAATCCCTTAAGCTACACACCTAAATCCATATTTAGACACATAAGTGCCTGATTTTTCAGACGTGATGAATATGGGCAGGCCCCAGGAACAAAGCGTCAAGCCGTATACTGCAAGCAGGGCTGCATCTAACTCACGCAGGGTTTGCTCATGCACAGAGTAATTGAGAAAGAGAATGGGTCACAAGGAAAAGGCCTCAAAGGAGAGAGGAAAAAAAAAAAAAAGAAAACTAAGACCTTCTCTGTATGTATTATGACAGTTCATGAGTTCATGGGAACTGGCTAAGACAGCTGCAGCCTGCAGCAAACACCAGGAGCACTGCCAGAAGAGCTACACCACCTGCAGGTCTCCCACCTCACTTCTTGCTGACCCAAGTTCATCTTCTTCCCCTACCCTAGGAGGAGCTCCCGTGAAGTGAAGGTCCACATCATGCAAGATATTGCTGGTTGAGTTTGTGAAATCTCTCTGTCTGAATCAACAGTGCTATCTTTGTTTAGCCATACAGGTACTGCAGAGCTAGATTCAAGAAACAGGATTTTGAGCTTAAAGAGCTAGCCAAAATATCTGGTAAATTCAAGCTATTAAATTTGCAGTGATAGCAGCACGTAGTAGGACTGTTTTTGTTATTTATCTGTTCTGTCTGTGTAATAGAACTTAAGCTTCCTTTGTGTGCTAAAAAACATGGTGAAAACCATAGCTGCCAGCTTTCCTCTCACAGTAGAGGATTATTAATTGTTCACTGGAGGAGAAAAAACCAACAATGGTGACAACCACAGAGGTAGGGCACTGACTGCCTCCCCTCTCAGCTGGAGGGGGTCATGTGAAGATAAAGACCAAACTTGGAGAAGAATTAAATGGAGGTGGGGGGAAACAGGGAGAGCAGTGAAGCGCACACTGGCTGTGGGGCAATGCTTCACTGCTAGAAGTAATTCAGCTTGATATTTCACTTAACACACTGTAACCTTTTAGCCACAACCTACGAGGTGCTAAAGGATGACTTCAGCTGCAGTTTTATGGCTCTCATAGATCACGTTCACCCCTCTCTCCTTTTAAATGAGGAATCTTACTTAAAGTACATCAGGGTTCTGGAGTTTAAAGCAAGACAAGTCTCTTACCCAACAACGTTACCATTTATGCATGTCCTCCACAACCAAAAATACAGGTTCTTTTCATTTACTAAAATACAGGGATGCTGCTTATTTTCTCTTCTATTTATGTCCACATAGAAATACATAGGTCTTATTTAGACACACATTTGTCTAAACCAGCTATTCAGCCTTTTCTCTAAAGGACACACAAACATTTAAAATGGAAAGGATTCAAACCAACTCTTTCTTCATCTTCACTGTGGGAGCAGTGCCTTGCATAGGTCGCAGGATTGGAGGACAGCTGCTTGGCAGCTGTGTGTGCTTATGTGCTTCTGACTGCATTGTGTGGGAAATAATATATGGCTGCATATTGCATGGGAAGGAGGAGATAATCAATGGAATGATGAGCTGAAGAAATGAAATGATTCTAAGAACAGCAAAGACTGCTGTCATTTTTATCTTGTGGGAATGCGTAAGGTTTACAGCCCACACTGGCATGCCTTCCCCTTCCCTCTGACAGGTTCATGGGTCCAGTGGAATGTACCTGTAGGAGGAACTGCTTGTAGCAACCTCAAACAGACACACTAACAGCGAGCTCCTGACACCAAGGCAGAGACCTTGGACTGGTCCCTGTAACAGACAAGGAACCAGGACAGATGACAGAGTGCTGAGATGGCATATCCATCAAGGTCTTTGTATCTAAGAAGGCCAGAAGCTCCATTTCGTTCTGGTCTTAGACTTTACAGAGTACATAATCTCTAGTTTAAATGCCCAGAAAGTCAGGAAGTTAACCAAGGGCTAAAGACAGCCTGGTGCAATTTGTTGTCCAGTAAATTGACTGTATGATCACCCACAGAGTAAAGTGGACTTTAGGCATGTATTAAAAAAAAAACAAAACAAACAACCACAACTCCTGTTAAGAAGCAGAGCAATTATAGACATTTCACACACTGGCCTCATCCTTTCATCCCTTCCACAGAGGCTCAACAGGTCAGGTTAGTGAGTCGGGGAAGTGAGTTAGCTTTACCACACAGTTATCATGCTACAGATGGACTTCTCTGAAATGAGGTATTGCATTTCCAGTCCTTTTTCCAGCCTTTAGGATTATTCCACAAAGAGAGTTTTCTGTGTCATAAAGGATTGCTCTTCATAGCTACAGCTTTTTGTACTCTAGAGACTGAGACAGGAAAACCTATAGTTTAACCTCACTATCATTGCACCAGAAGAAACACTGCACACTTTTGCTTTCACATTATTACAGATCTCTAGAAATAATTTTCCAAAGGACACCTGAAGATCTCTCCAACCTCTTTGTTTTAACCCCCAACCACTTTCACAGTGCTGCTCTTCAGCTATCCTATGTTGGCAGCTTCTCTTCGCTTCCCGACCAAGGAATTTTCTGCTGGGTAACGTGAGAGCACTAAGCTGTCCCCACTGGCAGCCTTGTTACACAGCGAGCAAGAGATCAGCAGAGCCAGGCAGCTGGTGGGACAGTGCAGCCCATTGTTATCAGCAGGAAGGCTCTTCACAGCTTTTTTAAACTCTATTTTAAGATACACCATGATTAATACTAAATAGCCCAGTACTATCAGTGCGCTAAAAGCAGTCCTTTAGGAAGGCTTTCATTCCAAGAAAAGGCTAAGGTTGCTCACTATACAGTAAAAGTGTGATTGTTTTGTCCTAAAATACTTCAAAATTATACTGGGAGAAAATCATAGCAATTTTAATTCAAACTGAATTATTCCCTTAATTTCAACCCATCAAGGTTTTCACATGCAGCCTTAATGGACACTGAAAGCTTTAAGGAATAAGCTGGCCTTAGGGGAAGCCTACTTTTTGTTAAGAAAAAAACCCAATACTTTTCAACTAAATTAATTCTAAAACTACTTATTTCTTGCATAGATGCATTATAAGGGAAATATTTCATTTTAAGAACACAGTACAAAATCAAGTTATAGTTTCGTACCTGCCCATCTGTCCCAATGGTGCCTCCACAATCTGTGAGGAGCTCAGACATGTCATAATAGCTAACAAACTCCCATAGACAGGCTTCCAGATTCAGATTGCGATAGAAGCGTAAGGTATTAAGGCCTCTAATTGCTGGGTTGTATTGATAGGGAATGGTCTCTCCAATCACATCTGGATTTTTGGTAGCATCAGTCAAGAAACCATGGTGGGTCTTCACTTCTGTGTAATCCAACAGGTTGGAGCATTTATGGTTTCCAACTCTAGTTCCATCAGGGCTAAGTGTCAGCTCAAAGTTGGAGAGCTCTCTTGTAGAAATAACAGGCAGCATGCCTAAAAAACATCAATTTCTGTTACTGCGATTAAATATCAGTAGTTAGAGTTGCTTAATTTAGGCAAAGTTTGTTAAACACTAAGATGTCATACAGTGTTTCTGTATTTTGCACTTACAGTAATTAATGTACTCTAGAATTCAAAGAAAGATGATATGCTAAGTGTGTATGAGAATGTTATCCACAATAATTACGCCTTTATACTATGAAATGTCAAATAAAATATTCCTAAATTTTCAACATATTTTTCTATCAGGATTTTGTGTGGATTTTTTCAGACTTAGATCATTATTAAATGGCTTTACATTTTTATTAATAAATAAATTCTTCCTTGGAATACCTCTATGGGCTTCAAAGGAGTTTTATAAAGTGTAGGTTTAGGTCTACTTATCTAACTATGCCATTAGTGTGGAACTTAATCTTTGCATCAAAGACTATGTATCAATACACTATATTATGCATCTTGTTGCAAACTGCACTTGTACATTCATCACATTTTTCACTGGTCTCACATTTTAAAAGACTATGTTATTATTTCAGATATTTAAAATAACATTATAATAAAGTAGCTCAGATCACAGCTTGTTCTATGAGTTCTCTCAACTCCACAGCTGATTTTATCGTACCATCAATATGTGGCATTGTGACTGTCAGTTTGATGAGATTGGCAAAATCAGGATCTTCTGGGCCAGTATAACGCAATTTGGCAGAGAATGGTTCTGCTCCAACTACTCCTGACATACGAGGTTGACAAAGACCTAATGGAAAAAGGAGAAAGAATTTTACATTATGTTCAGAGTAAATAAGCTACACTTTCCCTTGCACTATTTTTTGATGCAATGCTTTCCCCTATCTAAGCTTCCAAAACAAGAATTTTCTGGAATGACATGTAAGTGCTTTGGGCAGCATTTACCAGAGTTCATGTTTGAACAGGAATTTATGCAGAAGAGGATTCAAACAGAAATCATTACTTGATCAACTGGATCGCATTTTAAAACCAGGTGATGATGCTGCACCTGTACATTGGCAGTGGCATGTATCAACAATACTTGCAGGATTAAGTGTGAAGTGCCACACTTTCTTATAGAAGTCCTCAAAACTATATACTTTAATTCCTTCCACCCCCTTAAACACATAAATAGCTTTACATAGGTATTGTGGTTTTGGATAATAGGATCTTTTTCGTGGTTGTGGACAATAGGATACCAGATCAATGTTGGTTTTGGCACTGGATTGGGATGTGGACCTATATATGCCTTCACAGGACCCTACGAGCCTCCTGTTCCATTAGTGACCAAATGTAATTAGAATAATTCTGTCATGAACTAATTTTAGTTGGAAAGGATCTCCAGAAACACTGTGCTCAAAGCAGAGCCAGCTTCAAAGTTACATGGGGTTGCTCAGGGCCTTGTTCAACTGAGTTTTGAACTTCTCCAGGGATGGAGAATCTATAACTTCCTTTGGCAACCCATTCTAGGGTTAGTTCAACCTGTTGCAGTATTAGTCCTGGTTTGTAAAATCAGAAGACTAGGTTTGTAATCATATAATCTGAGACACAGGCAACTTCCAGTTGCATGGTTCAATGCAGAAGTGTCTGCACTCTGGCCACAAAAATCATGGCACGTTGTCATGTGACAGACAAAGGATGATAAGGATGTCTAAGAAAGAAACCAGCAGAAGTGGAAAATCAGAACAGTTCCCTTTGCTCATGTTCTGCTCTTTGCTCTTCTCTGAGGGATTACAAGGAAAGGGGAGGCAGGGCTCTTCTCTTGGAGAACTCTGGTTTTGGTGGACCTCATCTGGCTCCATTCTGGCATGACGTGATAATTTTGTCTTTTTTTTTTTTTTTTTCTCAAATGCAATTAAGATGTGCTAAAGTGGTTACATAAAATTTTTTGCACAATCTGATTTTTGAAAATTTGGTCTATACCATGGAGGTCAAGCATCTTCAGGGTTTATTTAGGATTTATTTATTAAGGATTTTGGCAGGTTACTCTGATCACTGTATTTCTTTCACAATAGCATCAAACAATTTCCTTTATGTTGTACCTGATCATCAGCATTACGGGCTTCCACATCACAAGTTATCTCAGGTACTGAAAGTAATATATGCATGACAATCAGTCTTGATTTTGAGCTAATTAGCCCTCCTAATTTGTCGTGTAATCCAAACAACGCATTATAACACTAACATAGCCAGTCTGTTTCACACAACTAAAGTAGCTCACCCAGCACAAGGCTGTCTGCCTTTAACAAGTACCACACTGCACCTTGTAGAAAATACCCTTAGACAGAGTCCTCTTTAGGGTGTAGGATTGCTGATTGTGCAAACAAAGGTGCCTTGAGCCCACAGTCAAAATGTGGAATAAAGGACAGGGATAAACAGAAATTTCATTCATTAAGCTTCTTAAAGCCCTAACTTAGTAGAAAATAAAATGTTTTAACTAAAACACTTAGTTGGAAAGGCTAAGAAAATTAAAATGATATTGCAAATGAGCAATCATATAATTTATTATTTACTGTAAGCTCTCACAAAAACCAGAAGAGTTAATGTAACTACAAAAGCAGCAAAAATGACATAAAAATGCAAAATGGCTGCAGAAGGGTAATAAATTACAGTGTTTTGTAATCTACCTTGATTGCTGATAATTACCCATTGTCCACATTATGCAAAAATATCTGTGAATTCTATAACAAAATAGCATTTGCTCTGACTGTACATGTTTGCATGTCAGTTCTCCACCTCTGCTTCCTAACGATATTCAGTTTCATCAAAAGAATTGGCTGGGCAAAAGAGCAGCCTACAGTCACTCTGCTGGCTGAGAGAATACAGCATCAGTTCAGTATTGATTAGGTACCAGAGCATCAGAGATAGACAAAGGGAGTGTCAGAGAAAGAAGAAGGATGAATGTTATGGATATTTCAACCACGAAAAAATAATTGTCTATGCCTTGTTATTGGACACCAGTTGCTTTACTTCTTAGTCAAGGAAGAAACTGATTCTTAGGTGTTTAGTGAGGCCTGAATGACAAATGAAGCTTTTCTCCTGGCTAGGCATTCATAATAGCACTCCCATGTGGATTCTCCCATGTCTAATAGCAGCCGAGATTGTACTGCAACATTACTACAGTTGAATTTAAAAGCCAGCAGAAACCAGGTTTCATTAGTTCCAATGCACACCATATACTGTTCTCCTGAACACCCAAGTTCTCTATGTGGATAACTATTAACTATTTAAAGATAACAAGCAAAGATGAAAACAATTTTCTTTATACAATTCTCTTCTGTATTAAGAGAGTTTTTGCACCACCTCTATGAAGAAAAGATGAGACACTAATATTAAAATACCTGATCATGTCACCAGATCTTTTTAAGATGGAATTTGGGATCCAAAAGAGGTCTGAGGGTTTTGCAATAGGTGATGATGTCTTACCTTCTGACGTGCTTATAGTTACAATAGGGCTCATAAGCTCAAGACCTTCATTCCCATCTGAATTCACAGCACGAGCTGCACACTGGACACGAGAACCAGCTTGAAAGTAAATGGAGTCAAGCGTAATCATCTTGGAAGAAGTGAAGAAGGTATCAAAGTCAACCTCCTTCATGGGGCTAGTCACACCATCGGGACCAGTGGGTGCACTCACTAGCCACCGGTATCGGGTCAGAGTATTATTGATGTTCTCACTCGCACATATTGAACCAGTCTTTTCAAAGTCTTCATATTTAGGATTGCAGGCCTGCAGAACAAGGCAGATGTGTTAAAGTTCGTTTGCTTCATGGCAAAGACATATGAACTTATCAAGTCACAAAACTGAACAACACAGAACTGACAACCCCAGTAAATCTCTGAAGAAATTACCTCATTTTGACAGTGATGATTTTAGCATTGCTATGGTAGATTTAAAAAGCGGGTCTAATTATGCTTATTGAAATAAAAAACAATATTTTTAATTCTGGGTGAAAACCTAACACAGTTATGAAGGCACAAACTACACTTCCACAGGATACTTTCACTTGAATTTCACCCCTTAATCGAATTCTGCAAGTATACTTTCCATTTCAAGATTTCTTTTGGTTTTGTATTTAGGAGAACCATTCAAGACAGGGTCCATTCCTGTGCATAATGAACAGAGCGAGAAACAAACTTAAGATGCAGATGGACCAAAACCTTCCTCAATGCATATGAATATTCTTGCAAACCTTTCAGTTGCAAAATTACAATGAAAGAAGCCTGTAGTACTTCAACAAACAGGACTTATTTTTCAGTCTGTGACATTAATTGAAAACCATGGCTCATCTGTTGTCTCCAGTGATTTTAACTCTGCAAATTAAGACAAAACAATGCAGGAAATAGCTGACTGACAACGATATAGATTGATATTGAGTGCCTAAAATCCAATTTCTCCTTTGAACAACATTTGAACAACTGATTTTGTTTCACCTTTCCATAGAGATACTCACTGTGATACAGATGACAGGATAGCCAGCTACGGGACTGGTTCTGTCTTTGGCTCTAGAAGTATCATCATATATCAAAAGGGATGCAACTTGAGGGACAGAAGGAAAGGTGACATCTGCCATGCTGTTCATTTCCTCAATGTAAACAATGGCCTTGGCTGTCTGACAATAAAAAGGCAGAAAAGTTCTCTCTAATAATGTAAATAGACAAGAGGGTTCAACCTGAAACTTGAATATGTCTACCCTTTGAAACATTGCCCCAAAGTAAGTTCTGAAACCTCAGCTGGATGAACTATTGAGGAAGGGTTGAGTCACTGGACAGTATACTGCATACTACAAAAGCAAGAGCTAAAGTGACTTTTTTTCTTTTCAGAACACTGATGATACCAGACCTTTTAACCTCTTGTGTCCCAACTTTCTTGAATTGCTTCAGTATTCTGGTAGAACTCTCATGTGCACAGTATGCTTTAACACCTGATGGAAATGGGGTGTTTGTCAACAGCAAAGGCTATGACTCTGCTGTCATATGCACTATATAGGCATACCTATATAGTATGATACTGGTGGGGGCCAAGGAGTTTGAAGAACATTTTATGTAGAATCAAAAGAATATGCTGTTTACATTGAAAGTATGTATGATATAATGCTAAATAACAAGAATGTGTGGGTACTGCAATCCACACAACAAGAATAATATTAACATGGTTTTGACAGCAGGTTTCGTTTCACCTGATTGCTCTTTTTACAGAACAGAGGTTTTATTGTATTGCCAGACAGTGTTTCCAAAAGGACATCAGTTTTTAGAATTGATTCTATGAAGAGAATGTGTCTGGAATGGTATCTTGAAGATTTCAGTTCCACATAATCTCTCGGTGTCTCTAATACCCCATGCCATGGTTTCAATTGGGACCAAGTTAACTTTTTTATTAGTGGCTGGTATAGTGCTATGTTTTGGATTTGGGATGAGAAAAACTTTTGATAGTGTAGTGGTGTTTTTAGCTGTTGCTGGGTAGTCAAGGCCTTTTCTGCTCCTCACGCTGCCCTGCCAGTGAGTAGGTTGGGAGCGCACAAGAAGTTGGAAGGGGACCAGCTGGGATAGCTGACCCCAACTGACCAAAGGGACATTCCACACCATGTGACATCATGCTCAGCATCTAAAGCTGGGGGAAGAAGAAGGAAGGGGGGCATTTAGAGTTATGGCACTTGTCTTCCCAAGCAATCATTATGCATGATGGAGCCCTGCTTTCCTAGAGACGGCTGAACTCCTGCCTGCCAATGAGAAGCAGGTGAATTTCTTGTTTTGTTTGTGGGTGCGGCTTTGGCTCTGCCTATTAAACTGTCTATCTCAACCCATGAGGTTTTTTTCTCACTTTTCTGATTCTCTCAGCCACCCCAACTTGGGGGTGTGATGGAGGGACTACGTAGTTCTAGTTGCCAGTTGTAGTTAAACCACGACACCTCATGAACCTTACTGCCTTGGCAACAAACTGCTTTGGCTATGTGCTACTGCATCACATGGGATGATCCTCTTTGTCCAAGATAGTGCACATAAAGCTTAAAAGAAGAGTAAAGCTATGAACCAGAAAGAGGACTTTGCGTGAGTTTATTACCTGTATTTCTGCGACCATGTTCTCATCAGGCTTCAGGTGAACAGTGAAGGCTTCTCTCATCTCCCTTACTCCATCAAAGAGAACTTCAATCTCCACAAAATGCTGTGTTTCACCCTCCTGAAACTCAATTTCTGAAAACATAATGAGACACTTAAAAATAAATCTGCTGTTCATAACAAGCTGTAATTCTAGGCCCAGCCATGAAAGATGGCAGTAAATACTTTTCCAATTATAGATGCTCATATATTTAGTTTAACCTATTTGATGCTAAAAAACGTAATAATGAATAGCAGCGGACACATGCAGAAATCACTGAAAATAAGGCATTATCACCATCAAAAGAGATTTGCAAAGACCAGGATTTAGTCTAATAGAACTTAATATTTGGAAAAGGAGCTGGGGCTAATTATTACATAAATGCTGGTAACATATGTGAATGACTAAAAGGCTGAAGAATTCTAAATAAAAAGTATTGTCAGTGATTACTCAAAGAAAATGCATTTTAATACAATGGCATACACAAAAATAAGGCACAAAGCCAGAGTTATACAAAATGGTTTTGTATTTTGAAAAGCATCTCTGAAAAAGCTTCTGAGGTCATTGCTATAAGTTCAATCTTAGCTTACAGATACAAGAGTACTGTGAATCTTGGATGTGTTAACTACTAAAGGAACAGAAAGTACAGAAACTAACATTTGTGTATGGAACGGGTGAGAGTGATACTGAAATTGTAGATGCACTTCCTCTATCTTTATTTTTTTAAAGGATAGCAAATTAACTGAAGACAGCACAGAAATGACTTACAGAAAGTGAGGACCAGAAGTTAAAAAACGACTTGCAGAAAAGGATATTCTGATTAGTATATTGAAACACCAACACAGAGAAAAAAAAATTCAGGTGCTAAAGAGCTCTGCACTCTAAAGGAACAGTCACAATAAGCAGTAGTGGATGAGAGCTGAAGAAATGGGAAATAAGGCACAGACTATAAAAAAGCGATAGCGACTGATTGGGAAGCAAAACACTAGGAAACATTTGTACTCTTCAGTGCCTTCAAACAAAGACTGGATGTCCTTTATGAAGAACATGCTTTCTCCAACCAAAAGTCATTTGGCTCAATACAGAAGTAATGGGGACAAACTGGAAGAATCTTGCAATCCACAGTGAGTCTGATTAAGTATTCTAATGATCCTTCCAGACTTGGTGTTATTAAGTCATGAAAATACTCTTTGTGGTAACAGACATGCTGCATGAGAGCTTAGAATTTTACTGAATTTGTTTGTCACACGTCCTTCAGATAACCCAGACAAGGATGTGGGGTTTGTGCCCATGGTAGAACAGACAGGCTCCCTAAACCCACAGATGTCCTCAAACCAGGGGGGAAACCCTGCAGATCACAGACTTTTCTCAAAGGCTTCTGGGCAGAGGCCCAGCGCCTCTAGTTCTGCAGTAGCATGTTTGCCTTGAAAACTCTGCTCCCGTGCACTGTTGGTGCACAGCAGGAGAGGGTAAGCAAGGCAGTGTGTATAGGTAATGTGTATAGGATAAGAATTAGCTGACACTAAAAATTCCCATGGTTTTCAGGAGGAAAGAGCAGAACTCTAAAATGCAGGAGGCAAAGTGACTGGAATTAGCAAGATCTGGGCTGATACTTTTCTTATTGCTAGCAATTTTTCTCTTCAAATATCACTGGTGGGAAATGCTGCTTCTTTGGAATTTGGAGAAGGCCCAATGTTGTTGCTGGATGTTCAAAAATAAGTCTTATCTTTCAGCTGGACAGGACACCAGAATAGTTTATCCAAAACTGTGACAACACTCCAAAACTGTGAAAACACTCCAGCAATGAATGATTCATCTTAGTGCTACAAATTCTATTAGTCATTCACTAAACCATGTGGGTGGGCTGTTAATGTAAAGAAGTTTATCACATTCTGTTGCACAACTCTCCTCATTTATTACTAGTGAGAAGCAGCGGACAGTGACTGGCAGAGATACAGAAAGAAAGCTTAATTATTATGAAAGTAGAAAAATAAACAGAAATAGACATAGAGCAAAAGCCATTAGCTTAATGAATCGCTTGAGAAACAACTACACAATCATATCCGATGAGTAGATGTTTCTGCGGAGGAATAGTATTACAGTTTGCAAATGTTACTAAGGTGGCACCTGCACATTTCTTCCACAGTTACGTGAGCTACAGGAGTCACAATTCTTTTGTAAATATCTTCACTGATATCTAGCATTCCAAGAGCAATTTGGCAGTTGCGTACCACATGGGATTATGTCCATACTGAATTTGGTTGCAAAGTATTCTATTCATAAAGTTATTTCATTTTTCAACCATTATCTTATGTTACAGCCGGGAATAAAACCAATAGTAGGATGTGATGATCTTCTGAATGATCCTACCTTCTGATATAGGGTGATAGTCTTCTCCAGAAGTAGCAGATCCATCCTTTGTATGAACTCTCACGACAGAAACCTTGGAAGTGTCTCCCAGACGAAGCACTGGGATTTTTACAACTGCTACTTGCCTTACGTCCTTCGGTTCACTCACACTAAATTTGGTCTCACCAAACTTAATAATAGCCTCTGTAATTAGAAGAAAAATGTTTTTAGAGCACAGAAAAGTTCTTCCAAGAACCAATAACAACAAAATAATTTCTTACTGTCTGCATCATCCCGAATCTTTATCAGGGTCTCATTTTGTTCACCAATAGAGGCACCAAAGGAAGAATCACTTCTTGGAGTGCCAAGAACCAGACGCAGCTCTTCTTCTTCTTCGTGGAAAGTATCATCCATAAGCACCAGTGTGCAAGGCTTCTCGGTTTCACCTGTAATCATTCTGAAGCTAGTATCATGCAGAACTTAGGTGTTCTTTGCTCTATTACAGCACTTCTCCTAGCTCAAGGAGTCACATGTTGCTTCTGCTGGCCAAGGCGCCCGCCTCGGCACCACATAAGTTAATGAGTAATGACAATAGTGAAAACAGAATTAGTAATCATTACCTTTCTATGAAAGCTCACCACTTAAGTGAAATCTGCCATTTTGGGACTTCTCTAAGACAAGTTTCTATTTGGTATAGCCACTTCACATGCACTGCTCCTTTTGTTTTTTCTTAGAATAAAATACTCCTTTTCAGTGACACAGAGTATTTTAAAAATAAATATGTGCACGAGGAAGCAGAGCAATAGAAACTTTCACTAATACTAATGGTAATTTTGTCCTAGAGTTTTTTATTTAAGAATTTCAGGCCTTTTTGAGACACTATCCAACTGTGTGGACCTTCACTTATATTATTCCATGTGATTTTCATATCTTTTAAACTCCCACTGGTGGCAAATGAAAATGAATATTGCCTTAAAAACGCTTTGGAGCTGCAAAATGCTCAGCTGGAGCACTCACAAATCAACGTGCCTAGGCTAACCAGATGTTTTGAGACTGGGAAAAAGGCCTGGTCTTTGGCCTTCTACAAGAGCAACAAGAGTTATGAGCAGTGTGCAGAGTGTCTGGACCCCAGTGTCAGAATCAGCGGGCTCATCATCATGACAATGACTCCTACATCCCTTACAAAAGAAACAGCATGGGATATGAGAGGGATGAGGTCAATTTACAGTATTTTTAAATTCTTAAGCATGTAAAAATGATCAAGGCTCAAGATGAAGAACCAGATCAGGATGCTGACTGAGTTAATTTCTGAGGTGTTTTTTATGCCCTATAGAAAACAGATTATCCATTAGGAGGAGAAAAAAGAATCAAAACATTCATTCTGCTTGTTGTTGCATGGGAAATGTGAAAACTTTACTGAAACTGCTGCATCTTAAGCAGGCCTAAGAAGCTTATGGAAACAAGATACAATCCACATAGACCTCTTTGCTACTTGTCTTCATGGAGAAATGGTAGGGTGACAGTCAAATAAACAAAAAAAAGAGGAAAGTCACTTCCTAAGGGGCCAGATCCACTAATCCTAACAAGTTGTATTCTCTTTCCTGGTTGCACAGAAGAAACGGCAAAGGCATGGGGTAGATGACAGCACTAAAAGCTGAGGCCAGCTCTAAAGGAAGAGAGACTGAACAACTCACTTTACAAATGTGATACATGCATACAGAAATATGAAGCTTGTCATTTCTGTGATAAGGGCATACCAAGGATTTCATACTGATGACAGAGCTTGTTTAGGGCTTGTAAAAAATATTATGTGCATGTAAACTTAAAAGATTAAACTGTCTTCTGCACAAATAGAGGGAATTAGGTAATATTATTTGAAGGTAGTAACACACAATTTATTTGTATTTCATCTCTGATATGAGATATTAAGTATGTGATACTGGTGAACTACCTTAGGAAAGCCTCCCTGGGGAAAAAAATCGAACAGAAATTAAAGTTATATACCTGTTGAAAGATCTATTACTCATTTCAGTGCAACTCAAATGTAATTATCAGAAATCTGCCTAAGAAAGAGCAGAGCTTCTGAAGTACCATTTTTGACAGCAGGTCTGTGCTTCTGTTATTGTGCTACTCTGAACCTGCTTTTGCTACTATGGATCAAAAAGACTCTGGCAATCAAGCTGGACCTATGCAAAGATATGTCCCTTTAGCTGCTATTGATTATGCCTCAAGATCAGAAGCGAAGCAAAGAGAGACATCATCTGTGTGCACTCGCTCTACCCACTGTGTACGGAAAAACCCCTTGGTTTTCAAGTGAAGTAAAAAGAGACATCATCTGTGTGCACTCTACCCACTGCATATGGAAAAAACCCTTGGTTTTCCAGATCAGTCTTTTTGACACTACTTTATGAGAAGACACGTAACAAAAAAACCAAAGCAAAACAAGGCAAAACAAAACAAAACATAGTAGACTGAAGGCTTCTAAAATAAGATCAAGAGCTTACCAGGAAGGAATGTGATGATGGAACTGTCAGTATTAGGACGCTCTTCAAAGTCCATCATTACCTGAGCTGAACCTTGCCTTGTATAGCACCTCACAGTGGATGTGTATCGGATATCCCCACTCCTGTATATCATGGCAGAAATCTGTCCATCATTTTCATTGCCTACATATACAGATTCTTTAAACTGCATCTTAGGCACTGGGCAGAAAAACATAAAGAGCATATGTAAAGTATAATTGCAAAAGTTACTGTATTTTCTATCCACTATTTCAAATTTAGTGATGTCACATTGCCCCAGATATATAACATAAGCAACTAGGCAGCGAATGATTTAGCACACGTGTGACTGAAATGGAAAAGTCTGAGTGTTGCCGTTGTACATCTCCTGCATAAATCTGAAAAGGTACAAAAAATTGTTACTCACAGTCAGAGACTGAGTCGTTAATGAAGATGGTGGCCTTGCTGGGTTCTCCAAGAGCAGCATTCATGGGCATCCTTAGCACAAGCTCAAACTTCTCAGTTCCTTCTAACACTGGCTGTCCAAGGTCATCCAGAATTACCACACGAAATGTCTGCATATTGACTCCAGGGGAAAAATCCAAATTACGACTGATGCCTACATAATCTACTCCAGCTATCAGTGAAAAGGAAAAAAAAAAAATCTAATCAATAAACAGCACTACATGTGATTAAAAATGAAAATATCTATCATTGCACAGTTAATTTTAAGTAAATCTATTTTTTAAAGTATAACTGTAAAACCTCCTAAATTTTGGCAGTCATGTAAAGCAAAAATATCTTTTGACCATCTAAGTTGAACTATACAATAAAACAATAAAAGTAATTAAGTCACTTATTTTTTTTCAGTGATACAAGTCACAACACAGGGCTTATTCTGATCTATTGTAAACCAAAAGTTATTCCACTAAAACTAATGAAGTTTATTCTAAGTAAGAAATGAAACTAAGCATAAAGCTTGGAGAGAGAGACTCTGGAGATGAAGCAAAGCTTTTTGGAAAGAAAGTTCATATTATTTTGTAACGAAGTTGGAAGTGTTGAGACTATTACGTAAAAAGGGAATGAGAAAAGGCCAGTGAAGTGACTGTAAGGAGGAACTGCTGTTGAGAGGAGTTGTGTAAACCAGAATGAATGGAAACCAAAAAGATCAAATTCATCTCAGACCATGTCAGGTGGGGTCTGGCACCTTACTGTTAGAGACAAACTGCTCTGGGCTTAGCTTGCTTTTATGTTTTGTTTTTTTTGTTTTGTTTTGTTTTGTTTTAAGCAAAGCAAGCTGAGCCATAACAAACCAACGAGAAAAAAGCAAACAAAAGAAGACACTGACTGAGACATGACACTGGGTCTTGGAACCAAAGCACTAAAGGTGTCTAGAACTTCAGTAAAGGACTGAGTTCAAATGTTCATTTTGGGGGGAAATATGAAGCAGAGCTGAAGAAACAAAGCTTTGGGGGAAACCGTTCATTGAAATTGAAATAGGGTTGGAATTCTGTAAATTTGACAAAATTTGGCAAGATTAAAGGCCATTATCAAATGGGTACGTGGCTAGAGTCCCTGCTGCTCTAACCCAGGCCTAAGCCTCCTAGGCAGGATGTCAGGAAAGAACCAGGTTCACAGTTTACAGGCAGCCAGCCATGTCAATGCTTTCAGGCTACTGCAAAGAGACTAGAGAGCCCAAGAGCTGTGCCATTCAAAGTTTTGAATCCTAGAGGTGATTTAATTATTTAAGATTCCTATTGTAAGGAAATACTAAGGAAATATTCCCCCCCTCCCCACGCCCCAGAAATATTCAAGGTGAAATAAAGACATCAGATCATATAAAGCAGTTTAGAAATTAGGTAATCATACATTTTTTTCAAACTTCATAATTTTCTTTTTCATAAGAAACATTATTTTTATCATATAGGTTTTATGATATATATAGATGATGTTTAGATATTCTTGAACTAACAGTACAGTCTTACACAACTTTGCCTCACTGAAAATTAGTTGCAAAGATAAACTCTACTGTCCAATTAGACTCAGGATAAGCATCTGAGGAAGATAATTTTTATACTGTCTCTATATGAATGTCTTAGTTTGAAGCACTGTGGTTTGTGAAAAAAAAAAAAAAAAAAAAAACACTAACACTGCAGACAAATGTTCTGTCAAAGCATCACTAAATCACACAGCTGTAGCAATCCCCTTGCTGAACACGATACTAGATAATAATTTCTCATTGTTTACAGTAAAAATGAGAGGAGCAAACTCTGCACGCCGCCAGTGATTATAATACTGTGCCCACAGTATGCTGTTGAGGCAGTAATCAGCTGCCTTTGTGGGATAGTGTTTTATTTGAGTATCTGAAGGCATTTCTCTTACTGCTGGACTTCACAATTGCTCCTATTCCTGTTTCTTTGAGAGAAATTCTGTAACTGCTTAATTTGTTCTCAGAAGAAAGATCTGCTAAGAGCATAAAACATAAATTTCATCTTACGCAGCTGAATCTATGTAAAGACCAAATGTACTAGTATTTGTTGTTGAGATGTATTATGAAACTAGAGCAAAACAACAACTTACCCTCTGCAGTTATTGGTTCAGATTTGCGAGACCTCACTGTAACAGACGCAGCTTTAGACAGATCAGTTCCAGTCCTCCAAACACGTACCTCCACGTAGCCAGCACTCTCATCCACATAGTATTCATCATTCCCAAAGTAGAATGATGGTTCTGGTAAAAGAGGAATAATGTCCATAAATATTTCTTTACCTTATGGTGAAGGTAACACGAGAACATAAAATACACATTAGTCAACACATTAGAACACCTCACTCTTCTCAGTAAGGGAAATAAAGCTTTTTTTTTTAAGGTTTAGATTTTTTCTAGGTATTTTTGGCTTCTTTTCAAGTATTGGTTTGCCTATTTTGGGACAGCAATTGTTATATCAACACTGTGCTCTTTCCTTGCCTTCTACATTCTCAACTTTGTGTGTCAGCAAGTATGAATCTGCACGCAAAACCAACTGCGTTATCTCATTAAACTTATTTGAGCTGGGTCCTGTGCACAAGCCAGAAAATTCCTTGCATTTTTCACTTGGGTGCAAACAGGCAAAGGTGAATACAGATAATGAAGCCTTAACTTGTATGTTCTCACAGATTCCTGTTGCTAAAACCAGACTGAAACATGATATATAACTGGCGCTGCTTTGGAAATGTTTTCCAGCTAACCAAAGGGGCAAATACTTAATTTTAGTTCCCCCGCATCTAGCATTTAAAACAAAATCAATCTTATTTCATGTAAGCTGGGATGTGAATAGTCTTTTATCTTAATATTTAAGTTCCACAGTTTATAAGAAGGAAGAGCAAAAAGCAAAGGAGGTTAAGTGTTATCCCACTTAACAGACATATTTTTTATCCTCATTTTTTCCTCCCTTTTCAGTTTTTCTACCCACAATTTCACAATGTAAACAGGTTTAAGAACATAGTGCAGCTTCACCCTGGACGTATATCAGTTCCCCTTTGCTATCCTTCCATTCCTGTTTAAAACATATAAGAGTAAGGACACACAGCCAGTACCTCAGTTTTCCCACCATGCAGCAGAAATCATACCTACCTTCCCCAATGGCTGGGATTAACTGGAAGACCTAGACAAATTATCTTTCTATTTCATTATTTACTGGAAAAGTTTATAGTTCTACAGAGCTATGTCTAGCATATAGAAAAGGTACCACTTACACAAAGGAGGAGACATAAATCCTTTTTAATGTTAAGTGGAAGTTGGGCCCATCGTTCCCATGATTCAGCCAAACCTTAATCTTAACATTATTTGCAATCCTATGACTTCTGTTACAGTGGAACAAATGTTTGGGAATTGAAGAACCTGTTTTGGACTACAACTGAGTTCAATAAAGGCAAATATTGTAAAGACATTGTATTATGAAGGTTTGGAGAGGCTTGTAGAATAACCAGACAAGGAAAATAATTATGTTTTTCTGAAGTACCTGAGGACAGTATGACCGACAACACTGTGTATAGCAACAATCTCCTCTGTGGTAGATTGCTTATTTCTTTTTATAGAAATCTGAACAATGTAAAATAGGATTTCAATTAAAACTAACCAGAAGCAATATAAAGTAGTTACTCAGTTATTACTAAGACAAACTTATCTGAGAAGGCAGCAGTTCCTAAGTATTTTGGATTTGTATACATAAATCATATAAATTAGAAGTTTTTGAATAAAAGTAATTACTCTTCTGCTTTCAAGAATTTTCCTGTATTTCACAAGCACAAAATAAATTATCAAAAAACAAGCAAATAAACCCCCTTAATATTCCACATCAATGAAAACAAATCTAGCTGTCTCTCTACTTATCTGCTAAAACTAAAATCATAGGTTGTAACAAAGCAATAGAAATGAATGTATTTACTGAATAATAATGCAGATTCATAGAACTGCTTGAGCATTATCAAAGTCATCAACCTTTCCAGGATGAAAGACAAACTTGGCAAATGTCTAGCTCCAGTAGATGAAAAGGCTTTCAGTTCCAATTTATTTTTTTTAATTCAGCATAATGTGTATTTAAATGTGTGTGTGTTTGTGTACACAGACAGAAACCCATTAATCTTACATTATTTGCCTATAGGTATTGGGCTGTCAGTAGTTGCATTGTTATTTGGGAATGCGAAGATCTAGTCAGAAACATTTTTAATAAGTGAATAGGATACACTCTCTGGACCTTCTTGTATAACTACTAATAACTTTGATGAGAGTTCTACTCACAGGGATACTGCAGAACTGAATAATAGATCTGCAAAGAAATGTGCCATTTCAGACATACAATGATCTTCTAAAATTTTCTAGATAGACAAAGGCTCATCCAAACTTCAGGGGTTAATAATACTGAATGTTTACTGAGACCAAGTGGCTACAAATGTGTCACTGGTAAGACCAAGGTAGTTAAAAATATTATCAAATCTAAGTCGTTTCTTAAACAACTATTTTTAAAGTTTAGCACACTTTTCCAGGTCTAATCTCAGTTTTATAATCCTATTCTCTCTGTACTGATGTCCTGGTAGTTATGGAATTAGATCTGGACTTGGCCCCACCTCATTTTAAGCACATAAGTGAGAGTTACTCACATTCACAGCCCGCATGCTCTCAGTTTTCATGGACAAGGACGGGCAATGCCAGGAGGTTTCCCAGCATAAGGAGCATACAGAAAGGGAGGTGGAATGGCTCATCCACTGCAGTGAGTAAAATCTGAGGAGACCTGGAAACATTCCCTTCTACTCACTGGCTATGCAAGGAACTTAGATGACCTGCCTTAAACTAGACGGAAAATGTCAAAGAAAACATTGCTGGTTTCTTGTAGTGTTATCCTAATTCTTTTTTATTGCTGCTGAAGAAGAACCCTCACGCGCTGTTTGTTCCTGTAGTCACAGCCAAACAAAAATGCCCGAACCCTCAGTTAGCTTGCCTTGTACTCCAGAGTGAGTTTTTCACACTATTTGAGGCATGTATCTTCAGTGAAAGACACATTCTGCTTGGTTACCCATCCCAGGAAACAAATCCTTACAAATGTTTTGTAAGTTCATTTCCTGTAAGCAGTGTTAGTGGCTCCCCAGGGGAAGCACCAAAGCCAAGCCACTAACAGGGAGAGCATTGTCTTTCTCAGGTCACGACTGGAAAACACTCTGCTCAATGACTGCAGGCTCGCTTACAGCAGGTCTTTAATCTAGTAATCACTCTGGAGAGAGACCACTGCAAATTTAATGGTTCCTCTTACAGAAATAAGAGGAAGTTTAAAAAGAGGGTTTTTTTTTTTTTTTGTTCAGACCCACAGATTTCACTGGCATGAAGTTACATTAATCAGAGGAGAAAGGTTAGGAGCTTTAGTCCCAGGTTTCTTGGCACAGAAATGAAATCTTTGTCTTGCCTTTGCACTTACAGAGTCAGGAGCACGTATCAACTACAGCACTAGTCAGCCGTCAAACAGGAAAACAAACACTTCTCATGCTGTTAGAAATAGGTCTATCTTTGAATGTATATCAGAAAATCAATGAGATAGCATGAAAATATTTATTTCCAAGGAGGCTTTTGTTTTTAGAATGATATCCTTACAATCTGCTTTAGAAGGACATGGCAAAAGAGTAGGTAGGTTGCAAGATATGCAAGGTGCCACAATCAGTTTGGGCTGCCAATGTAAATAATACATACGGCACGATAGTTAGGATAAACAGGAAAGAACAGTCTTCTGTGCTGACACCTCAATAAGCCTTAATACTAAAGTGATTTTCAGTGATATATATATATATATGTATATGGATATATCTCAGGACGAGAGAAATAATAGAATCCACCAGAGGAAATGGTCTGAAGTTGCAGCAGGGGAGGTTTAGATTAGATATTACGAGGAATTACTTTACTGAGAGGGTGGTCAGGCACTGGAACAGCCTGCCCAGGGAGGTGGTGGAGTCACCATCCCTGGAGGTGTTTGAGAAACGTGTAGACATGGCTCTTCAGGGCATGTTCTAGTGCCCAAGATTATTGGTTTGTGGGTGGGTGTGATGTGGTGGGGTGTTGGGTTTTTTGTTTTGTTGTTGTTTTTTTTGGTTTGTGTTTTTTGGTTTGTTTTTTTAATTTGATGTTGGACTCAATGATCTTAGAGGTCCCTTCCAACCATGGTGATTCTGTGATTCTGTGAAAACAAGACCTTCCATTATGACATATTAAGATACTGGAACAAGGAGAAGCAGTCATTACAGCTGAACTCATACTTGAGCTTTTCCAGTAGTATTAAACGGTTTATTCCTAAAAGCTTTTGCATTCCTTCTTTCCATGCACAGTACAAACAAGGCTATGATGTGAACATTATAGGTTGCCAGAGCTAGCAGACATCTTTTGTGGTCATGCAGAAGGTGCAAAACAGTGCTTTGTAATCTTACCAGCCTGCTCTGGCACAGTCTCGAAATGCTAGTGCAATGCTGAGTCCAAAGTAATGAGCCCTGATGGCTGACACAGCCAAATAACTTGGACATAACAGAAAAACGCGGCCAGATTTTCTCTGGACCTGATCTGGCTCGTACCCAGACAACATACACATCCCTACACAATGCTTACTTGCATTTCATTATCACGGCCAGCATTAAATGACTTAGCTGCTGAGTCTATATTTAACACAAGAGTCTCCCCCCTTCCAAACATGAAGTGGGTGAGTTGTAGGTAAAGCAGTTAAGAACAAGAATTCCACTAGATTTGAGAAGGAATAGGCATTTACAGTTTAATAGCAGTAAAGGTCAACTTCTGTCGACTTTCTCGTATATGCATGTTAATGGGAGTAAAAGAAAAGCTCAGAAAAACTGTCCATTGCAAAAAGTTTATATTATGATATTATCAAAGAGGACTTCAACATCTGAAACTAGGTAGCACCATTCTACAGCTATTTACACATACTTGAAGCTATGCAAGCAACTGAGCTTGCATTTAGCACAATGAATTTAATTTGCCAAGTCATTTATTTTTGCTGAATGCTGGAGAAGCAGGGGTCAAGATTACAGTCAGAGCTCAGTTCTGGAGCAGGTACCTATTGTGCAAATGCCAATAGCTTTTTATTTGATGTGGTCAAAACAGATTACTTTTCAAATTCATATGTTGTAATCTTAACAGCTTTCATCTTCTTAGCACTGTTGTCATAACTTTTGCAATCAAAAAGTAAACTCACCTCAGAATCA